TTAAATTTTCGTTGACGAACGATCGATATACGTAAAACAAGTATGTAGAATTAATTGTTTATCTCCGAAATAAACTTCAGTGACTCGTAACGTAATTGTAACGTAACGTAAAATTATACCAAGGTGGGATCGATTAGAAACAAATATAAACTGACGTAATATGAACTTGATACTTAAATTGTTTGTTCCCAAAATTGTTTCGTGAGACTTAATGTCTTAAACGAATTCATCCTGTCAAGATTACGAAATATTATTTCGTATAGTTCGTACCCGCAACGTGACTCAATATATGTACATATAATTAGTTTCCTCGTGTTTTATTGGAGTCATATTTCGAACGTTTTGTAATCTGCTATGGTCCCGTCTAAGTTGATCGTTTAAAATTTGTCGTAACAAAGACATAGAGAATAAACTTATGCGCTGTATGTGCTTTAGAAAGCATAGACTGACAATTGTACACTCCTTAATTCAAATTGAATAGAACTTTTGATCTTCTACAAGACACACTGACCGAGATAATATGAATAAATAGTATAATTGGAACAGCCGCATTGTTAGACACTGCTTCTTGAAACGATACGGTCCGACGACATTGGCCTTCAACTTGATTAATCGTTTACACGTTTATTTTTGTTTATACTAATGATACGGTGAACCAAAATTAAATCGAACGTTCCTCCATGTCAGAACCTCGATAAATTAATCGAACAAAGCAATACGCCTATAGCACGATGATTTATTTTGAGACAGTTTTATCGTCATGCGATTATATTGCAAAACTTGCGTTTTTCGGACTAAGTTTATCGTCTTCCGTATGGTTCGTTTATTCAGGGTCGAATTATTGTTTTAAATAAACTGTTGTATCATCGAAAAGTGTAATTACAAGTATTCGCTATTTCTAGGGACTATTTTCATATTTACGATATTTGAAATAATTTATAGAAGATAAAAGAAAATATAATGTCACGATACCTTCTTGATCGTAAACTTTTTGTATTAAAAAATACGTTCACTCGTCGCTGTTCAAAACATTACGTGTTCACGATTTCGAAACCAAACTATACTTTTCATTTCTGACAAAGTGGATCAATTAAATGTTACACGTTCAGTCAAATAATGCGGCGAAGAACAATCGACTCGTTGACGCCGTACCGTTATCAACGTAAAGAACAACGCCTTCTTGATTAGGAGCTTCGTCGACATCCATCACCCTGGCATTATTGCAACACATGATACGAAAGCTTTATCCGTATTCAATTCTCTTAAATTTTTTTTTTTTGTAACCGTTTTACTAAATTTATACTTTACCAACATTTTATCCACATTTATCCAAAAAATGTTCGAATATCGAATATCTTACGAATTTGTATTTCGTCTGTTGTCAAATGTTTAAAGGAAACTTAAAAACTCCACAATATATTTTGCAATTGCTTGGTCAGCAAATGACAAATACATTATCAATTCATATTCGATAACTCAGCGCTTTATTCGGTTTCAGCGTACAGTAGACTTTAATCTAGATGACGAATAAAAAATACATGGGCCAAAAATAAATTTTTATCTGAACAGTCGATTATGTATCGTAATCGTGCGTGTATGATACTAGTGTGATTTTTTTTTCTTGAAATTTTATATAAATAAATTGTTTTATAATAATATAGATTTGTCATAGAATTTCAAATTTAATTATCCATTTATTTGTTCGTAAATTTTTTTATTAATTTTGTGTACGTTTATACGTTTCGTTGTTTATCAAAATTTGAAGTACTTTTGAAATTTATTAAATATGTTTCTGAAAACGTGTTTTATTTCTTTATCTGTAAGGAGTTCATAAATATAACCGAATACTGATTTCATTCCTGATTTCTAAACAATCGATCGTGAAAATAAGGAAGAGAGATGGAGAACGAAATTTCGATAGTTTACCTTTCGTAATAACTGTCATATTATGTTATGTTATGCTATGTAACACGGTAGTACATTGAACGTGTCACTGAAGTTAACAGAATGCGTCTGCGGAGACATGTGTGTGGAGAAATATTGAGTATAAGTGAATGCCTCGAGACGCTACATCAACCGCGTCCCTTTTCAGACATTGAAATTACGAAGAATCCGTATGACATATTGCGCTTTCACTTCAATTTCGCAAAGCTTTTCGTGTGTTCATTTTATCGATCCCATTCTACCGAAGCTGTTATTACCGACTAACAGGTACGCATATCGATTACGAGGTGCCGATGATTATTTGAAAGTAGCAAAAAATGTGGCTGAAGGATGCGAATGACGATGTCTTACCGGCTGCGAATTTCGTGAACACACGATGCTGCGTCCAAAACGAGTAAGTCATTGGTTCTTTCTCATTGTGTTAGAAACTGATCGTTATCAAAGCCGGTTGCTAAATTATCGGCTGTACCGTTGATGGGAAAATTAATAACTTACAGTAGCGTGAAATTGATGAGTGAATATATCGCATCGTTAACAGGCGTCGGTTACTGTGTAACACAGTTTTATTCGTTTAAGCGATATACCTCTATACCGATCGTGTATCTCTTCGTTTTAAAGAGATCGTTTATTTTGATACCTTTGCATTTCGATGCAAATAATTATTTTTAAAAAAGAGACGAAGAGGAAAAGATATAGACAGATACAGGGTGAAGAAGAAATTAAATGGAATCGAATAAGTATCTTGGTACTTTTTTTTTTTATAGAGATTAAACAGCTGCATCGAATAGTTCCGTCAAAATTATACACAGATTGTTCCCCGTTGGATACCGTTTAATTGTATACATACAGGGTGTTCCGGCCACCTTTAAAAATTTTAATGGGAGATTCTAGAGGCCAAAATAAGACGAAAATCAAGGATACTAATTTGTTGATTGAGACTTCGTTAAAAAGTTATAGAAACATTTCCGGACACACAGTATATTTTCGGTAAAGAATTTTTTTCTCGAAAGTACGTAGGATTTCGGGGGTATGTGTATTCACCAAAAATGATTGTAATTGACCCCTGTAACCAAAAACAATTTTTCCAAAACGATTTGAAATTTTTTTTTTCGTCGAAAAATTTCAGCACCTACTCGAATTTTTTTCTCGAAAGTGCGTAGGATTTCGAGGGTGTGTCTATTCACCAAAAATAATTGTAATTGACCCCTGCAACCAAAAACAATTTTTCCAAAACGATTTGAAATTTTTTTTTTCGTCGAAAAGTTTCAACACCTACTCGAATTTTTTTCTCGAAAGTGCGTAGGATTTTGAGGGTATGTGTATTCACCAAAAATGATTGTAATTGACCCCTGCAACCAAAAACAATTTTTCCAAAACGATTTGAAATTTTTTTTTTCGTCGAAAAATTTCAGCACCTACTCGAATTTTTTCCTCGAAACTGCGTAGGATTTCGAGGGTGTGTGTATTCACAAAAAATGATTGTAATTGAACCCTGCAACCAAAAATAATTTTTTCAGAACGATATAGAATTTTTTTTTCGCCAAAAAATTTCAGCACCTACTCGAATTTTTTTCTCGAAAGTGTGTAGGATTTCGGGGGTATGTGTATTCACAAAAAATGATTGTAATTGACCCCTGCAACCAAAAATAATTTTTTCAGAACGATATAGAATTTTTTTTTTTCGTCGAAAAATTTCACACCTTGAATTTTTTTCTCGAAAATGCGTGGGATTTCGGGGGTGTGTCTATTCACCAAAAATGATTGTAATTGACCCCTGCAAGCGAAAATAATTTTCCCAGAACAATTTGAAATTTTTTAATAACTTTTTAACGAAGCCTCAATCTACTGATATTCTTGATTTTCGTCTTATTTTGATCTCTAGAATCTCCCATTCAAATTTTTCCTAGGAGTGGCCGTACACCTTGTACACGTAACTATACGAGAAACATCGAAGTGAATGTAATTGGGATGCTTTGTATTGTTTTATCATAGTGAAAATAAATTAACGTCCACTTTATATAATTATATACAGTCGTTGAAGTCACGAATCAAATACGAATCGGTGTAATTATCAACCGGATAACATCTATCATTCTTTCCGCAAGTGGAACTGATGGGTGTTATAAATCTTTTCCTGTACCATTTGTTACTTGATCCTTCCGTGTACATTGGTTTTATTGGTTTCGTGAACGGAAAATAAATATTATAATTACATAATTTTATTGTATTATTATCATATTATATAATTTGAATCATCGATCTCGTACGTACATTTACGACCGTCATAGCCGGTTATCAAATCGTGTTATTTGAACAGTCGTTCGATAAGTTTATCTCTCTTGCATTATAATAATAACATTACTTACTCGGCGCACACAATATTTTTGGTATTACGGTTTAATGCAACATAATCATTTTTCAAAATTGATGATTATGGCTCTGCAAAGATTACAGAAATGGAGATTGATTAAATGTTGCACTTTTACAACTAATTGAAATTAATTAAACTTATCAAAATAAAAAAAATAGATACTTGATAAGATTAACAAAATAAACTAATATCTGAAGGTACTTGACGATATCAAATTCCAACTTAAATAGATATTAACGAAAGTGTTTGATAGATAATAACAATTGAAAAAAAAGGACTGAGTCTCATAATATTTGAATATTCATTCTCGTATTAGATACGTGACATTCATTTCGTTTTAAATACAGAGCTCTCTCGTTACCTTGTAACGGTGCAAATATCTTTAATCGAGAAACGAGTAGGTCGAAAAAGATATGGAAAATCGATGATTCCGATATCTTGAGGTTACCATGTATATCATCAACTGGATCAGAAGATTTAGAAACAGCGATAGATCGACAATGCAATAACAAACTTCGCTTAAAAAAAAAAAATATGTACAATATATATGTATATTTATAATTTTCCTAAAAGAAAAATGGGTAATTCTTTATGTGATTATTTTAATAAATTAAAATACCAGATATCAGATAAAAATATACGTTCTCGGTCGTTAATGATCTCTGTTCATTCGATTTTGTTGCAGAATATTTGTCAACCGTAGTCTTCATTTAGAAAACATTAAGTTCTATGGCTTCGATATGGATTACACATTGGCAGGTAAATCATCGTGTCATCCGCGAATAGACACATAATATTCTTTCCTTTCTCTCGATACATTTTAATCTTCGTTTCACACATATTTAGAATACAAATCGCCGCAGTACGAACAACTCGGCTTCACACTGTTGAAGGATCGTCTCGTTTCGTTGGGATATCCGCAAGAAATTAAAGCATTCGAGTACGATCCAAGTTTCCCAGTGCGTGGATTATGGTTCGACACTCTTTATGGGAATTTACTGAAGGTCGATGCCTATGGAAATATTTTAGTTTGCGTCCATGGATTTGAATTTTTGAAACAGTAAGTAAAAACAGTAGTAAAAAATATTCCTATTCTACAATACGTATATAGTGATATCTTAAGTTTTCTAAACGAACATCTTTACAATTTTTTCAGTTCACAAGTATACGAGCTTTATCCAAACAAATTTTTACAATTGGATGAATCCAGGGTTTACGTGCTCAATACGCTATTCAATCTTCCCGAAACATATTTACTAGCGTGCCTGATAGACTTTTTTACTAATTCGCCGCAATACTCGCGAGAGAAAACGGGGGTGAAAGAGGGGGAATTAACGATGAGCTTCAGGAGTATATTCCAGGATGTTCGAAGCGCAGTGGATTGGATACACCTTCACGGTGATCTCAAAACTAAAACTATCGAGAATTTGGACGAGTACGTGAAAAAGGACGAAAGGCTTCCAATGTTTCTTACAAGGATCCGGGAAAGCGGGGCAAGGGTGTTCCTTTTAACGAATAGCGATTACGTTTTTACCGATAAGATCATGACTTACCTCTTCGATTTTCCACATGGAGCAAGGGTACGTAGTCCAATAAACAACTATCGTGTTAAAAGCACTTTTAAACTTAACTCAAGCGTTTCGTTCTTTGTAGCCCGACGAACCTCATAGAAATTGGAAAACATATTTTGATACTATCGTAGTGGACGCCAGGAAACCATTGTTTTTCGGAGAAGGTACAATTTTACGGCAAGTAGACACAAGAACCGGCGCTTTGAAACTTGGGACACACAAGGGTCCACTTCATACAGGTGAATCAATATCTTTTTCCATGTTCATCGTTTACAATTAAACGTTTCCATAGCGTACGAATGCTAGCGAAAGCAACTGTATAGTTTAGTCCGTTCCAATCGTCATAAAACGTGTATTTACTTTTAAAAACAGGTGAAGTTTACTCGGGGGGCTCGTGCGATGTGTTCACCGAATTTATAGGTGCAAAGGGCAAGGACGTTTTATACGTTGGGGATCATATTTTTGGTGATATTTTAAAGAGTAAGAAAATTAGAGGGTGGAGAACATTTTTAATAGTGCCTGAACTAGTTCAAGAACTTCACGTTTGGACAGACAAATGTCAATTATTTGCTGAATTACAAAACTTAGATGTTATGCTAGGAGAAATGTATAAGTAAGTAAAAAAGTTACTTAACCTTTTAACCAAAGGCTTTTTAACGTGAAAATTTTTTCTCTCAGAAATTTAGATAGCAGTACAAAGGAAAAGCCCGACATCTCTAAGCTTCGGGCATCCATAAGAGACGTTACGCACAAAATGGATTTATCTTACGGCATGATGGGTTCTCTGTTTCGCAGTGGAAGTAGGCAGACTTTTTTCAGTAGTCAAGTGGTGAGGTATGCTGATCTTTATGCAGCAACCTTCTTAAACCTCATCTATTATCCATTCTCGTACATGTTCCGAGCTCCTGCTATGTTGGTAAGTTCATTAAATCGTTTCTTTCTTATATGGTGTAAACACTACTATCCAATTTTCATTTAATCTACTTCAGATGCCCCACGAGAGTACAGTAGCCCACGAGCAGAGATTTGTAATGGAAACGCCAATGATTAGCCGATCCCGAACTTTTAAATTTAACGACGAAGAAGAAGAAGAACCAACCAAGCCTTATGTAAGTACTAAATATTTTATTTCTTCGTTATTAAATAGTTACGAATAATAATGTTATTAATTGTTAGAAAACATTATACGTGGATGCTTCTAATACTCAAATACCGCATGCAAGGCCTGAAACTCCACGCAATGTAACCCATACACACGACGAAGATTGTAGCGACGAAGACAGTGACTCTCAAAAACAAGGAAATCATGTAAGATCATGTTCAAGAAGTGGTAATTGTAAATGAATTATTTTCATTGCCGCCTTTTTTATATTACGTTTCGTTCCTACATTGTTTCGATGATTTAGTGGTATTATTGAAAGATTCGATACGATTTCGCCACGTAAAAGGAATACTTTGAGATTTCGATCGGATGTAACGAATGATTTCTTTATACTAAGTTTAATTCCTCCACTCTTTCAATCATCAAATAATATTATTAAAGAATTGGATATGCTACTCGATGACTATAATCTAAAATTTTATAATTAATAACGTCATCCGTTAATCAATCCAATATATATGTGCATCAAAGTACGTATAATTTATTTTTATAACTAAAATTATCTTAGTTACAACAAATTACACTGCGTTGTTTATATTACTTGGGTTTGATCACAGTTCCATTTTCACGTGTTGTTTTCATCGATACAATATTGCCGATACAACAAATATTCCAAATCGAACGCAATATATATACATATTAATACATGTATAAACTGAATTTATCGTCATACAATATGACTTAAAAAAGTTACAAGTTATGAATTACTGTAAACAGCATTGTATGTTAATATGCATATTAATCTATATATCTTGTTGATTTAGCTCTATATTTATTTAAATTCAAGTAAAACAGTACAAAATGTATACAAAATATTTCCGGTCAAGGAATTTAGGAAGTTTTCTATATCTTAATAAATTATTATTTTTATTATTTAAACGAATTAAATGCAGAATATAGTTGTTAATTCTTTCATATTGATAGTGATCTTTTAATCGAAAGACAATAGAAGCAATATTTTATTGCTTGCTAGTACTAAAATAACATTCTTTAGCGACGTCTAATTTTTGAATGTACACAGTTCTCGCACAAAAAAATTTGGAATTATCATAGAGATACTGAAGTTTTTGCATTATAAAAATATTCTCCATACTAGACTTCCTCAATTATGTACTATACGTTTTGTATGTTCAGTTTCATGCAATATATTTGTAATCTTAAACTTGTTATACATTACATAAGAATAGTAAGTGTTATAAATATTGAAAATAGAGTAAGTTTGAGTATTAGGCTAGTCTTTTTACATGAAATTTTAGCTTATTGACACGACGAGGATAGAACAGTAGAATTGGAAACAAAAGTGAACAGAAAAACAGTCAAATTGTTATCAATTATGTTAGATAAATTGCATTAAGAATGCATAGAAAATGTGTTCTTAATCTAGCTCTCAATTTTTATTATACATATAGTTAATAGTAGACAATCTTGTAACTGTTGCAACAAGGTTTGCAGTGAAAAAGTGATGATTCGTAAAGAAAAGTATAAGCAAAGCATCGCGAACGTAATTAACGAAATTAAAAGTCTTTCTCATGATGCTTTCTCAGATTATAGTGCTGAAGTCGAGGGTTACAGCTCAATTTATCAATTCGTATGTAAAATTACAACGGCTATTCTGTTTGCCATAATCTGTAAATTTACATGTAATGGTGGCCAGATGTTTAGAGATAGAAATTATTAATGATATTCGTAGTAATACAAGTTGTCGGTTAAAAGTAAAGTGAAAAACAAATCAAATTTGAATATCAATCCCTAAAATCGATTTTATAAACATTCAATTAAATTTCTTTGTTCCTTTGGCTGCTTCAAATGGTAGAGTTTCAAAAAGTTTACTGTTCTTTATACTTCAGGACAATACTTAATGCGATATTATAGGGGGGAAACAATTGCCACGATACTAGACAACGAAACCGATTATAAGAAATCTTCATTCTCGGATTTTTTATTTTTAGATAAAATCGTCAGCTTCGATCGATATCGATCAAAGCCTGTTTTTTTCATTTATCTTACAATTGGCTAAGTAGGTCTTATATGCAATCTAGTAACACAATTTTAATACTTCATATTAAACTTTACGTATTTGCGATTCCTTAGACAAAAGTAATCCTAATTTCAGGTTGTATCGTACCGATAACGGTTCGACTAGATATTGAAAAATTGTTTATTTTCGTTGTTTAATGGATTTTAAATTTCTGACCTTTTATATATATAACAATTATACTTAGGATAATATTCGATGCTATATTTTGGGAGATGATTCGATATCGATATGCGAATCATATTTTCCTGAAGAAGGCCTACAAAACAAGGCTGAAACATTGACAATATGAACTTTCATTTAGAAGTATTATTTTTCGTTTTTTCTTAACATCATTATGCCTTGTTCTAAAGACCAAAGAACGAAGAAATTTTTTAAACTCTATAGAAATAATCGCGGAACAAAGGTTCCAAAAATGAAGAGTCTGTGTAATGATTTATAATTCGTTAATCTTATAGTAGAATTTTATAGTAATGAAAATTATCATGAAAACGTGTTACTATTTAATTTATTAACCATAAAATACAACAACAGAAGAATTAAGAATTACGCGTTAAATTGATCGTATCTCAGAAGTAGATAAGCTAGACTTTACTTTATTTTTAAAATTGTATATATTACGAAGGTTGTTGAGGATCCTTGACTGTAATAAAAATAAGTAAATAATTGTATTTATTTATTATACAAAATACATCTACGTATATATATATATATATACACATTGGCTGGTGCTAGATTTGTTCATACTGTGAAGATTTAATTTTTTTGCAAACACAAGTATAACCGATCGAAAATTATTTCATCTATAAAAGTTAAGAAAATATATGCTAAGTCTTGTTACCATGCGATATAATGGTAGAATGTGAATTATGTATCAATCAAAATAAAAATATGATTACAACTGTTATATTTATTTAAACGTGACTAGTGTTATGCGTAAAAATTGTTATATTTCTCAACAATATCATTAATAAACAATTTTTCAACATTACTAATATTATTTTGTAAGAGAACTTCGGCTCTCCTTACATTAGCAAATCTGCTAAATATTCTTCAAACTCCTCTTCTCTAGTTTTTTCTAAACCATCCGCTGGTTTCTCTTTCCAGATTTTTGATTCGTCCTTATTAGTTTCTTCAGTAGATTCTTCGATGTCGTTTATAACTTGAATTTCTTCTGTTTTAATGTTTACTGCGGATGTACTGGGTGTACTATCGTGCGTTTCTAAGTTTGTTCCTAATCTCTTCAGTGTCTTGTGTCTCTTCGCTTCGCGTTTTTGTGACCGATAATTTAATTGCACTGAACATTCAGGACATAATCCTTAAAGCACGAATTATAAATAAACTCAAACATACTATAGATTAAAGAGTATTAAAGAAAAGAATCATTCGCTTACTTAATTTTACAAGAGCATTTTTTTTTTCTCCATGTTCTAGGTAACCAAAATTTACTTCCCAAGATTTCAGTCCTTCCTTCTCTTTACATTTCTTATTTCCACATTCGAACTGTCCTTTGCCAACAACTACTTCTTTCTCTGTTCTCCATCTTAAGGCAACCTGTTCAATCTTTATTTGTAAAATTTGATAATAAAAACTATTATATACAGTAATTCCTCTCCTTACGTGGCTCATTTGTTCTAAAACTCTCTGCATAAATCAAATTGTATAAATATAATGCTTTGTAGGGAGAAAGAAAAATCGGACAAAGATTAAGGATCATTGGTAACTTTCCATAGTCTCTGAGCTTTCAAAGGACATTAACACGTTTGATTAAAAACAACTAACAATTCATACAACGGTTAATTTTTTCTCTATAAGAATATATTTGAGGGTCGAGTCTACGTAACTCGAGGATTCACTGTATGTCAAATAGAATTCCGATCTACCTTATTGTGTTTGTAATATGTTAAATCAGCAATACAGTATTCCTTAAACAATTTGTCATAATATTTTTTTGCCAATCGCGCGCCCCATGTATCTTGCGCATCGTTATCTTCATCCCAAAGAAATTTGTGGTTTTCTCTAATAACGTCATAGTCTGTCTTATCTCGGGACCTCGAAACACAGGCCGAAACGTCAAGAGCTGCTCATTTTAAGGTTTACAAAGTTATCATTTTCCTCCGAAATTTACGTTTGAATAAGTCTATAGGGATGTATCTCTAACGTATCAGGTTAACCAGAGGATGCGTTCGAACAGATAGTCGATGAAAATTTATGCAAATACAAATTAAGAAACATATTCATACGAAAAGAAAACGGTAAACTAATCGACCATGATATCAAATTATCAAATGAAAATTGATTAAAAAATTTAACATACGTGTCTCGTTTTAAGGATGATACCGAGCCATCGTGCAACGTTAAATAATCATTTATAAGTTTCTTGTGTCTATCATAAGCCGATAAATAGGCGTACGCCGGAAACATATTCTTTTATTAACAAAGACTATTTATTTCTACGTTCGATGCGTAACATTAGAGTATCAGCGAAGATGCATAGAAGCCATTTAATCAATACGTATATTTTTCTTTAGACTGTGTAATAAATGTGTATGCGTATGTTAAATATAATTTTTAACTTGAAATTATACGACTTCAATTTTGTCAATTACTTTGTCACAAAAAACGACAACTTTCAAAACGTTTTAAGTCATTCTTTACACTTGCACGCACTACATTTACAAATGGCGTCTCACTGCATGTAAATACGTACGTCGCGTCCCTAGGCCGCGACTATTTCACTAGATCGCGTTATGCCAAATCTGGCCACACTGGTTTGTTTCTCTTTATCATATGTGATGCGTCTTAATTTGAATGCAGTGATATCTTTTTGAAACAGTAAATAATTATACATAAATTTGAAGAACTTGTTAACTAGAAAATGGCAGATGAACGAAATTTTCGGTCATCCTACTACGAGAAGGTAAACATTTTTGGACAACACGTTACTTAAATCCGCGTAACATAACCCCTATACTAAATACAACAAAATATCTCATAAATCGTTTGTGTATGTGTCAAAATACAGGTAGGATTTCGTAGCGTGGAGGAGAAGAGATCGTTAGAAATATTACTCAAGGAACGTCCTTTTGACAAAGCAAAACTTAAACAGTTCTGCTTGCGGTTTACTGTTCCTACTATACACAGAAATTTTCTCTGGAAAATATTATTGGACATCATACCGGTTTATGTAGATAGTCATAAATTTATAATGAACCAAAGAAGAATGGAGTACCAAGATCTGCAAAAAGCATTAAAAGTTACAAAGATCTTGGACGATTATACAAAGCCCCATTTAATGGTTCTTACAATGTGGTTATTGCGTACAAGAAGAGCAAAGCTTGATATGAGTGCCCAATTAGAAATTCCTTTGCATAGGTCTTTATCCGTTTTTAAATTCTGTTTCCTTACAACTGTGATTTGTTGAATTACTGTTTTTACCAATGTGTGTGTTCGTTATAGAGCTATGAGTAAAATGGCTGAAACATTGTGGCATATTGTTGATAGCGATACTCACGACGAAAAGCTTGTAGATACATACTGGATATTATGTGGGCTCTTAGATCAAGTACAAAAGTTTCATAAGGAAGTAAATAAGTTACAGGAATGTACTTGTACTTTATTAGAAAGAGAAGATTCAGAATTGTATAAACACCTTATTAAAATTGAAGCGCTTCACAATATTCCATACGATGTGTGGTTTTGTTCGTGTTTTGCAGGAACAATATCTGTTGGTTCCATAGTAAAGTTTGTATTGTATTTCGATGTAATTAAAGCGAAAACATTCTAAAAATTTAAAAGCACTATTCTAAACAACTTAATGTATCCATTTATTACAGAATATGGGATAAAATTGCTGTAGGTGCATACAGAATATTAATTTTTGTCACTGTAGTTACGTTAACTACTTTAAGACGACTTTTATTGCGATGCGAAAATTTAGACAGTGTATTAGATACTATTGGCAATGTATGAAAATGAATATATGTGTATAAAGTTAAAAATATAGTTGATCATAAGAAAATATTTTTATTTCTAGATAACGGAAGAAAGCTCAGAACTAATTGTCAATAAAGCGATCGAATCTTGGCAACAAAGTGGTTCCACATTGATAACTATTTCGCAAACAATTTAGAAATACTTTAGAAAGTAGAAAGACTTTCTAAGGCATGATAAAATATACATAATGTAAATGTGTAAAAAAGTTTCTAATGTATGTAAAAATTTATGTTTGTATAACATATGTCTTTGTATTTTAAAAATAATTATTTTTATTAATGCATCCGTCATACATTTTACATATACAATTACTTAATTTATTGAGGTGTTAAGTCTTGAACTGGACTTTATTACTAATATTGTGATTCTTTTGTTTCCTTTTTTGCAATGTTATGTTACAACAGTGTTAATGTACTCAGTGTGTAACAGCAAGTCAATAAATTTCTGAATCAGGCTAAAACATAAAATTGTGGCATTTTATGCTTGTATTATTCTCCAAGAAATTTATTGTACAATCAATTATACGCTTTCATCATTTTGTATCATGTCCCCCTATCATGATTATTAAAGTAATTTTGTCGCGTGTTTTTAACTTGTGCAATCGGCGGAATTTTATTCCGCAGTTTATCTTAACAATAATATAAAAACAATATTAAATTTCGATATGCATAGCATTATTTAATATCAGAATGATTCCAAGCAGTGGAATAGACACTGACAGATTAAAACGCCCGAAGATCGATTAAACTTTCTTTTGAGTTTTTACAAAAGAAATAACGTTTTGTGATTTATGTACATTTTTTTTTCTAATTTAGAAAATTGAAAGATTCTTGGAGAAAAGTGAGATCATATAAAATTTTATTTCTTGCTCACGCATTACACCATATTTCATGGATTCCTACTGCTTCCTAACATTACATCTTTTGAGTAGGTCTTCAGCTACTATTTATTCTTTGGTTTTTAATGGGACTTGAGTATCCTTTTTTTGTATCTTAATTACCTTGTAACAAATAGTGGCAATAACTTCATGTATGCTGAAAAATTATAATAATGAAGCTAGATTCACTTCAAGCATGTTGAAGAAATTTTTATGCTCCTTTAAAATAACATTAGCAGTGTGCACGAATTTTAACACATGATCGAACTTCATTATCATAAATCGATATTAAACAATGTTGGCAGATTTTTAATTCAGAGAGTTATACTATGGCAATGCACATATAGTTCTGCAGACACTAATTCTCTCATAAAATACAAGTGAAATGCACAAATACACTACACTATTGTTGTATTTTCTTAACATCAATGACTCCAATTTATAACATGCACATTTTAACGTTAGGGAAACGTTTCAAGCGTTCAATTAATAATGTTTGCAACATTCTTAATCAAAATTTACCACCGCCTTTGAACGACAAAGTATAATTTCATATAAATTGGTTTTTCTTTCTGATTAAGGCCATTGCATTCATTCTGCTGACGTCTATTTATTAAAATAAATATTTTATGCAAAGAAAATAGTTAAACGTACTTTACAAACATCAGCTAACTCTCGCTAGGTATTATATGCAACTGAAAACTTATTCCTTACTTTAGCTATGTAGAGTTCATTTACAATGTCTGCACATTCTTCCTCGTCTATTACATTCATCTTTCTAATTTAAAAGGTTTGCTTAAAACAAAGGAATGCATGAAAAATGAAACAAAATATATTCGCAAATAAATAAGATCTTGTTTTTCAGACATGATTCACAAAAACATTTATGAAAACTAACCTAAATTCGAGTTCCATGATATGTGCGATAAAACTAACAGGTGCTTTTGCGTTAAATAAAAGAAAAGAAAAGAATTCTCGGCAATAAGTGACGTGTATGATAGAAGAAAAGAATTTTACATAAAAAGTTCTGAAACTTATGTTATAAAGTCTAGTAAAAATACTGGTTAGAAGTTTCATTCGTCTCACAATTTTATACTATCGGCAAGCTACATAAACTAGGAGTCACTGATAAACGAATCAAGGTATCCAGTGCTTGATTTAGTACAAGTTGATATTTGAATCACCCTTTAGGAAAACGAAAAGCGTAATTTTATTTTTCAAATACGAAAAACATAAACAGATTGAACTCTGTTTTCAGCTCAACTTATATTTCATAAAACGAGCACTGATCGTAAAAACCTTTTATAACCTAAGCATTAAGTGGATTGATAATCCTAAAATCAAACTCAGTTACTGACTTAAAAATGTAGTATAATACAATATAGACAGCTCTCTTAAGGGGGTAGGCACGGGTAATGCAGCGCGCTGTAAACCGACACAATTTGGCCCGAAATAGGGGGTTTCGAAATAAGAGATTTTGCCCTTATATGAGCAGCTTTTGGGTCGAATGAGGTCTCATTCGAAAGAGGAAGGTCCAATGCAGTGCGCTCTGGTCAGAATCGAACGAGATTCTGTTCACATTTATTAATATCAACGTCGAAAGTCGAGAAAAAAATGAATGAAATACAGCCACAGAATCGAGGTCTTTTTAGGTTACTAAAAGAGTTGTACGATTCCAATACTGACCAGAGCGCGCTGCATTGGACCTTCCTCTTTCGAATGAGACGTCATCCGACCCAAAAGCTGCTCATATAAGGACAAAATCTCTTATTTCGGAATTGCATTCCCACAAGCGAGTTCCGCCATTACATGGGTAATAGCAGAGCAAGTCACGTGACAAATTTAGTTCAGGCAGTCGCTACGAGATGGCGCCTAATCAAGAGGGCTGTGAAGGTGAAACCATACCAAAGTGAAGCGTTAGCTTCGATACATAGGCCCGTCGCCCCGAGAAAGCCAGATGCTGACAACCTAACCCATACTTCGATTCTGCGGCTGTATTTCGTTCATTTTTTCCTCGACTTTCGACGTTTATATTAATAAATGTGAACAGAATCACGTTCGATTTTGACCAGAGCGCACTGCATTGGACCTTCCTCTTTCGAATGAGACCTCATCCGACCGAAAAGCTGCTCATATAAGGACAAAATTTCTTGTTTCGAAAACCCATATTTCGGGCCGAATTGTGTCGGTATACCGCGCGCTGCATTGCTCGTGCCTGCCTATCTCCCTCGGTGTCTTTCAATCATCGATTCATTTTTGCTCATTTATTATTGACAATAAATTCAACATAGACTCTCCCACGAAGCGGGATCTATGCAGGTGATTCAGTATTGGAATCGTACAACTCTTTTAGTAACCTAAAAAGACCTCGATTCTGCGGCTGTATTTCATTCATTTTTTCCTAAACTTTCGACGTTTATATTAATAAATGTGAACAGAATCTCGTTCGATTTTGACCAGAGCGCACTGCATTGGACCTTCCTCTTTCGAATGAGACCTCATCCGACCCAAAAGCTGCTCATATAAGGGCAAAATCTCTTATTTCGACATAATTGAGTACATCGAAATCGACAGTAATGACGGCGAACTTCCTTAGCGTCTAACGTAGTGAAATAAAGAACGCTAGTGTGAGCCTTTCCTTCTTGCTCTTGTAAAAGAGAAACAACTGAAATACGACCTCGCGATAAGCGGCATACGATTCCAAGCCTCGACTGCCCCAGCATTTTTACTTTCCGACCTATGTAAGGTATAAGGAAATTTATGAAGTATCATAATGTAAAAAAAATGTCGAAATTTTTTTTAGCGGAAATACACGTTTTAGGACCCCCTGATCATATTGTGACTATTAAAAAAAAAGACTTTTTTTTTGTTCCTATTACATATAAACGGCTGAATGAATTTCAATGAAACTTTACATTTCAGTTTTATGTTCTCGTTTCAAGGTCTGATTAGATTTTGAGCGTGATCAGCCCCCGGATAATGATGATTATACGACTTTTAGTTTTATAATTATTTCGATACATATACATTATTTGTAACAAATTTTGGCAATTATTTAGAAAAGGGGGAGGTCTCACCGATTTTGATGATTTTTGAATATGTTGTAAAAATCAACATTTTGAACAACTTTTTCCTATACATATAACCACCGCTTGGCCTTATTTTTCGAGATTTTTCTTCAAAAAGATTGCTGCTACTGCAATGAATTTTGTCTATATGTACATGTCCGTGACTCTGTATGCGTCAGTCCACGATCGCCGATTTTTTCTCTTGTTTGTGACAAGAAATAATGCACAATGTGTGAAGCTAAATCTAGTTCTGTATTGCTGTCAATGGTTCGAATATTCCGAAGTATGGAACTCGCCAAATACATTATGTAGGCTATTTAGCTGAATTCTTCTTCCATCGACAATATGATTTTAATGATCGAATAATGAAATGTTTCCCACTTCTGATAATATCAATAGAGAAAATTGAAATAGAAAATGAATACGTGGCCGACCGCCTTACGGCGGCCGGTATAAGAAAATCTAACCCAGACCTAATCCATTATATTAGTTACTAGGTAGAATAATTAGGTTTATAAGGGTTAGATGTTTTAGGCACACCCATTGTCGGCCGCCTCGATGCATCTATAGAAACAATGAACAATCGGCGATTGAACGCTTACACACACGCTGCCACAGCATGTACTTACGTATAGATAGAATTCATTGTATGTAGTAGCAGCGATCTTTTTGAAGAGAAATCTCTGAAACTAAGGCTGAGCGGCGGTTATATGTATAGGAAAAAGTTGTTCAAAATGTTGATTTCTATAACATATTCAAAAATCACCGAAATCGGTGTTACCGTCCGTAATCTAAATAATTACCCACATTTAATATTTAATAATCGTCAAGCACAAATTACTACAGAAAGTTATCGATTCCATATGGATCTCGGAATCGATCAAGTTTTGAATCGGCCAATAGTTTTGCGAGTTTGGAGTCTGACAATACTTTCCAGGTTTTCAAATGTTTCCAATCCGGCTAGAGCGCGCACGCGTTACCTCTCTACTTGAGCGAATATTCAAAGTAAGTATTGCAGCCTTCGCTACATTATTGTCTACAATTTCATACCCTACATTATTCACGAAAATAAATGTTACTTTATTTTGTACAGTAAAATTTTCAAATGAATGCATAGTAATCAAGTTTTTTTGGAAACATTATTGTGGAAGATTTTAGAGTGGGGTTGCATGTTGATTAAAATAAAATATTGCCGCGAAAGTCTTCTTCATTTATATACACGCTTCGTGGGAGAGTATGTGTTGGATTTACTGTAAATAATAAATGAGCAAAAATGAATCGACGATTGAAAGACACCGAAGGAGGTAGGCACGAGCAATGCAGCGTGCGGTATACCGACACAATTCGGCCCGAAATATGGGTTCTCGAAACAAGAAATTTTGTCCTTATATGAGCAGCTTTTCGGTCGAATGAGGTCTCATTCGAAAGAGGAAGGTCCAATGCAGTGCGCTCTGGTCAAAATCGAACGAGATTCTGTTCACATTTATTAATATAAACGTCGAAAGTCGAGGAAAAAATGATCGAAATACAGCCGCAGAATCGAGGTATGGGTTAGGCTACTAAAAGAGTTGTACGATTCCAATACTGAATCACCTGCATAGATCCCGCTTCGTGGGAGACTCTATATTGGATTTATTGTTAATAATAAATGAGCAAAAATGAATCGATGATTGAAAGACACCGAAGGAGGTAGGCACGATCAATGCAGCGCGCGGTATACCGACACAATTTGGCCCGAAATAGGGGGTTTCGAAATAAGAAATTTTGCCCTTATATGAGCAGCTTTTGGGTCGAATGAGGTCTCATTCGAAAGAGGAAGGTCCAATGCAGTGCGCTCTGGTCAAAATCGAACGAGATTCTGTTCACATTTATTAATATAAACGTCGAAAGTCGAGGAAAAAAGTCGTGGACTGACGCATACAGAGTCACGGACATGTACATATAGACAAAATTCATTGCAGTAGCAGCAATCTTTTTGAAGAAAAATCTCGAAAAATAAGGCCAGCGGTGGTTATATGTATAGGAAAAAGTTGTTCAAAATGTTGATTTTTACAACATATTCAAAAATCATCAAAATCGGTGAGACCTCCCCCTTTTCTAAATAATTGCCAAAATTTGTTACAAATAATGTATATGTATCGAAATAATTATAAAACTAAAAGTCGTATAATCATCATTATCCGGGGGCTGATCACGCTCAAAATCTAATCAGACCTTGAAACGAGAACATAAAACTGAAATGTAAAGTTTCATTGAAATTCATTCAGCCGTTTATATGTAATAGGAACAAAAAAAAAAGTCTTTTTTTTTAATAGTCACAATATGATCAGGGGGTCCTAAAACGTGTATTTCCGCTAAAAAAAATTTCGACATTTTTTTTTACATTATGATACTTCATAAATTTCCTTATTGTACCTTACATAGGTCGGAAAGTAAAAATGCTGGGGCAGTCGAGGCTTGGAATCGTATGCCGCTTATCGCGAGGTCGTATTTCAGTTGTTTCTCTTTTACAAGAGCAAGAAGGAAAGGCTCACACTAGCGTTCTTTATTTCACTACGTTAGACGCTAAGGAAGTTCGCCGTCATTACTGTCGATTTCGATGTACTCAATTATGTCGAAATAAGAGATTTTGCCCTTATATGAGCAGCTTTTGGGTCGGATGAGGTCTCATTCGAAAGAGGAAGGTCCAATGCAGTGCGCTCTGGTCAAAATCGAACGAGATTCTGTTCACATTTATTAATATAAACGTCGAAAGTCGAGGAAAAAATGAACGAAATACAGCCGTAGAATCGAGGGCTGGGTTAGTAGTATATGTATACCTGCTATCCCCACCACTCTGTTAGACGCTAAGGAAGTTCGCCGTTACTATTGTCGATTGGTCACACTGTTCGGAATGGTATATGGCAATAGCAAGCAGCTGCCTCTGATTTCTTTAGGCGGCAGCGTATCTGATGGTATTACCATTTCTGTGCATAGAATATCTGCTGTAATACCGACCTGCCGAATCGGCGAGGTCACGTGCCGTGCCTACCCCCTTAAAGTCCTTGTGAAGTAGGTGCACTTGATAGTAACGACAGCTTCTTTAAACATAGAGTTTCGTCACTGGGCAAGGATACATGTCCCTCTTCATTGCTGTGTCGTCTTGCCTTAATTTTGACAATAGCTATAGAGCAGCAGAGTTGCAATTGTCGACTAGAGGTGACAGCGGTCCTATTTTCCCTTTCCCGCTTCCCAGTTTGTCTGCCTCATAGTGTACATCCAAAGACAAACCTTAAATTGTAAGAAAATTCAATGTAATATACACATGTCTTGATACATGCATAAACAGGACGAGTCGCCAAAGTTTGGACAATATCTTTGTTGCCCCTAATGATACAAGAAAAATAGAGATAAAAATGTTTATTTCATATAAACATTTCGTCAAAAGCAACGAAGATATTTTAAGTTCCAAGCTTTGGCGAGTCATCGTGTTTGTATATGGCTATATATCTATATATACGTAATGCATGACAAATTTTAAATAACATTCATATATGTTATATAAAATATAGATGTATTTTGATTATATCAATGATCGATATAGTTTCTTTGTTTTGTGTGTAACAATTTCTGCATTTTATAGCGGCATTTTGCATTAAATGGCAGTTCTTATTCTAACATTAAATTTTAGTGAAAACCACCACCAATAATACATCTGATTTTTAACATAACTGTCAACCTTTAACGTACATTTCTGATATGCGTATTTACCGGAGGGCCTCCGGGAGGTGGATGAATGATGTATCGGTCCTGTTGGTATTGTGTTTGATTCGGGTATAAATGCAGCTACCAGTAATGCGCATATCACAAGTAATGCACCAAACACAAATGGTGGTCCTGGGACGAGCTGAAAAAATCATTTCTCTTTTTGAAACATTCGTATCGAGCAGTGCTCTCCAGCTTACACCGCAGACGGGAGTGGAAAACCCCAAAAGGGCTAACAAGCTCTGGCTTGGAGAGCACTGTTATAAATGCAATGTTTTACAACAATTATTTGTATAAGAAAAATGTACATTAAGAATATTTAATTCATAATGGAACCTACCTGTGTTACTAGCTGTGGCATAATATCAAGATGTGTGGCAGTTCCTGTTTTATTATTTTCATCTAAAGGAGATGGTTTTGCAGGAAGGGGAGAATTATCGTTGAGATCAACGCGGAACAAATAAAATATTACTCCAAACATTGCTGGCCCAAGACCGTTGCATAATCCACGCATTCCAGTTACCATGCCTTGTACCAAACCCTGCTTATCAGCATCAGAATGCATGGATATGAATGCAGAAATTGCAGGATATGTAATACTTGACACAGAGGCAAGCACTCCAGCAGCCCACATCATCCTTGAAGTTGTAAAAATATTTTATGAACTTCGAGCAGTGCCGATTTTTTTTATACTGGTTGTGTTAAAATTTACTGTACAATATATAATCTAGATTTTATATAAAAACTAATTTATGCATACAAGTAACAAATATTACCATGTTTGGGAACCGAAGCCAAACCACATAAGTTGTAGCATCTCAAATAAGAGGCCTAAGATTATAGTATGTTTACTGCCAAGGATCTTTATTAAAAGACCCAAGACAATTTGCGCTCCAACGCTTAAGACTCCCACCACAGCAATAAAAAATGCTACCATCAAAGCAGTAAATCCCATAACCTTAGTCAAATAGACGAATATACAACTATATTGTCCTGCTTCAGGAAGATAGCTCAGGAACACGGTAATACACAACATTAAGATTGTGTGATCTTTGCCAACCTAAAACATCATAAACGTCATTCACGTACACAGAATTTCTAGCGTAACACAAAAATTTGCTTTTCGTATATATTTGCACACTTTGCTTAAAATAGAACTCAAGAATTTGTAATTGCAAAGGTTACACATATCTATTTTTACACGCAAAACGCGCTAATTTGGATTGATTTCAAATACATTTCCTTTATATATATATACTATAATTAATCACTTGCCTTTCCAAGATAAGCAAAAGGATCTGCCTGCTCCCAAGATATAGGTGCTGGTGGGCGAGCTTTTTCAGGCAAACTTTCAGGTACAGCCACTAATATAAAAAACACATCCAACACTGCAATAGCAGTTGCTAATGCAACCACAAGATTTTCACCATACACTTTCATAATATGGTCTCCTAATGCTGGACTTACTACCATACTCGCAGCAAAAGTTGCTGATACCTGATGAAACATATTTATGAAACAAAAATTTCGCACCTAAAATTCGTTAACAGAGTTGATAATGTAATACTTACCATACCATATGCTGGAGATCTTTGATGTTCTTCCGTAACATCCGCAACATATGCAAATACCACTGAAAATGTGCAAGCAAAGACACCACTGATGGAGATCATAGCAAAGAACCACCATGTGTTAATGCTCATTAGAGGAATCGGCGCACACGTGAAGGCTACAGTGATGAGTAGAAAGAACTTTCGACCCCACACATCGGATAAAGCACCAATCAGTGGCGCGGAAAGAAACGACAGGATTCCTTTAATGCCCATTATCAAGCCATTCATCAGGAACGTGTGATTTGGAAATGTGATATTCAATACAGAGATAACAGGCATGGTTAATAAACCCCATGCAAAAAATTCCAAAAATATTACAACCAGAGCATGGTACACACTTGCCTCTCCCACACCAGAACTCTGAAAAAGAAAAATAATAATTTCTATAAATTTGTCCCCTACATATAAGACTAGACAATTAGACAATTCATAAGCAGCCATGATATCTATCTGCTGTACCCAACGAATATGGAACAGTAAACGATAATTTAATACAAAATATTAATATCAAAATCTTTCTTTGAGTTTATCAAAACTATAAGCACTTTGCAAATTATGACAGCTGACCTTAAGATGCCTGTAGCATTGCTGAGTAAATGTAAGAGGTGTGAGTTTAGCAATAGCATGTTCTTGGCTGTTGTGAATTTCAGAACAGGAAGGGCCCAGGCCCTCTGCTCCGCCTTTTGCCCCAGGGGGCATGACCCCTAAGAAGTGCTACTATATATATTTCTTTCCATATTTATGATTCTATCAATTTTTCATTTATCAGTTGTTCAGATCCATATAATACTGTAACGAATAACCTTGACTTAACACCATGTCAATTTTGCATTTTCAAATGATCAACCTAATTGTCGTTAAGAATGATTTATTATTACTGTGCTTCTTTGATTATGTTTATGCGTTAATTTCAATTTTAAGCTTTATTTCTGTACCTATTTTCTTGTCAATTTTTCTCGCAGTACATTCAGCGTATTGCGTCTGCTTCTACAAATGTTCTTATCGTATCACATTTAATTTATCTAACGGAAATTCAATCTATTTGTTTATCTTTAAGGTTTATATAGATTGCATTAACCTTAGCAACATACATATAAAATAATTGAATTAGTAATTGCAACAAGCTTCTTTCTTGTTTCCATAATACTAATTTTTTATCATTATAAGTTGTGCCATTAACAAAAGTTAAGCAATTAGATTAATATCACTCAGTAATATGAAAAATATTGTGCATCATTGTAAAAAAAAATCTAACGAATTTGGTATTGTAAATAAGATTTGTCATCATTTTTTTCATTTAACAGCTTGATTTTCTTTGTTCATATAACTCTATGATCTTCTCGATTACGATCATTTTTGGTCATGCTATAGAAATTTTCTTTTCGTTCGAATAAAGCATTCTTCTGTGCTATCTTTTTACATATCTTAACAACGTAAAGTCAAAAGATCTTATAAATGCATAAAGTCTTGCGTCAAAACCATGACTATCGAACAAAATATCCATGCATAACAATCTCAAAAGTATTTCCTTTTATATCGCGTACACAGATTTATGGAAAGATCTTGAAGTGCTTCTCACAGTCATAGCAACTTTTGAGGGTGGCTTATTTGAAGAGCACTACATCGTTAACAGTGTTACAGTTTAGAAAAATTGAAGAATTCTTTTTCTTTACATAATGCCATTCGAGCATTTCTGTTTTAATCATTTCTCTTTGTTAAAAGCAACTCATGTTTCTGTCAGACATCGTTCCATTTGTTGTTTGTTAATGATTCAATAATTGGATACTATTCGGTATGACGTCACGCGAATTTTCATAATACGCACGAAGTTGTCGCCGACATTTAAATTTTATGTGAAAATCGTAGGGCGAAACGTTATGTTGCTAGCATATCAAAAGAATGGTATGATCGGTAATGGATATCAACTGATCCATCGGGCGGAGTGATCCTTCTCGAATTTAATGTTTTTCGACGTCATAACTTATTGTCAGTACTTCGTCGTAGAGGTTTTTAAGCTCATATAATTAATCGATGGTTTTACAATTGTTATAATATACACTTTTCCCTTTTTCGGTGCAACAACCAAAAATTTTAACTATAGAAACCCTGAACCACTGCATTACAACTCTACACGACACCAACCCCCCTCCCCCCCTCGCAATACTTTTCGCAATATGTACTACACTCTATAGTTCTTTCATCGTACCTTTACATTGCATCTAACCTACAAATCTCTAAACGAGGTACGATATTTTGTTCATCGTACATCTACGACAATATATTAGAACGAAAAATTGTTTCACTTCGAGAGATCCGAATAAAAGTATTTTTATTATTTGCTCAGTATTGAAAAAGATTACTATTTGTCAACCACACATTGTTGGCAGCTGATCAATATGCGCAAGACGGTGTTACCTGAAAGATCTGTACATATGCAATATTACTTCAATAAAAAGAAACAGAGACCAACAATATAATATTATTTCACTAAAAAAGATATATATTTTAGTGGAAAGATAAACTGTTACAAATTTGCAATTTACAATTTCATAGATGAGTCATAATCATGTCTCACGTTTTATTTTCAACGAATTAAACTATTTAATAGTTTTATTAGTTATTATGTGCTAATTGTGAAAACATTTTTCTATTTTAGTAATTGAAATAGCAGGAATGTATATATATATTTTATATTTTCAATTAACTTTATTACAGTGGACTTAAAGGTTACCATATTGTACCCAAAAATACATATGTCTATTCTTTATGTATTATTTAATATTATTGAAATTAAATATTTAACTGATTATTTCTTTGTATTAAATTTTATTAATATTAAAAATCATTTTTTACTAGATTCATCACTAATAATGTTGAGAGGTTAGACAGACTGAAGAAATAAATGTGCTTTTTCATAAGTATTATAAAAAATTGTTTATCTATTTTATGTTGTAAATAATAATTGTAAAACACAGAGGTAAAGGTAAGAATGTAATAACAATCCATGAAGCTGGAGAAAAAGGAAAATGACACAGTTTAAGGCAATATTATACGTAATCTTTTTGAATGTATAAGATAACCTTACCAATTATTATCTTAAACAAGACCATAGATTTTCCAAAGATCATTCGGTATCCATTTGAAACAACCTTGAGTTGTTTTATAAGATAAAAGCAGAACAAAGAAGCTGGTTGCAGATCATAGTTCATTAATTGTAAGATATCAGGAATGGATAAAAGTTGAAATTGTTTAATTTGTGTTGTATTTGAATCTTAACAAAATTATTATTTCATCATTACATATTACAATTAGTATTTTATACTTGCAATCAAAGGGTTACAGAAAGTAGATTCTTGAAATAAAACCATATCAAGTTGAACAATATGTTATTGAAAATTTTAAATCTCTTACATAAAATGTGCGATTTGCATTTTACAACAGTGATCTATGCACATGAAAATGAATCTTATTAACAGATATGTATGTACATGAAAATGAACAGAGATTTAACCATGTGTGAATGCTATGTAAATACAATGTAAACGCGCTAAAAACTCGCACAAAATTTCGTAATTCGGAACGTTATACGCATATCAAGTAGCATCTAATGCGTAAAATTTCATTATTATTATTTACTATTTTATGCGCTACTTGACAGAAGATAAACACAGAATAGAATAATTATACACGTCATGCATTGAACGAAAATTCGTACTTACTTTTAATGCGAAATCAGAGGTAACACATAAAAGGATCAAGTATGTAACTTAAAAATCTAATAGATATTAAACTGAATTGTTCAGTACCGTAATGACCCCATCCTTAATAATGAATTTTCGGCTTCGTACGATCATGCCCACGACCTTCTTTGAGACCTTGGCGGGCATATTCACGCACTGCGCGCACAGACTCTTCCGCTTTTTCAGTTTCATTAATTCCTAAAAATTCGATGACACCGTACGAGTCATTTTTCAGTGAAACCTCTCACACAAACACAAAAGGCAATTTTAGCTTTATATCGTCCTTATATTCGCATCTACATAGTGCAACAAGCCACATTTAACCATGCCGCAGACTACTACAGACTACCAGGTAAGTGCAATATATTTTATAGTGGACATAGAACAGAAAGTATAGCGATCACAGAATTTGCACGCGAAGTAAGCGCCGCTGAGCGACAGTGTAACAAAACGCATCAACGTATCAATTCTTTTTTATCAACCGTGCCATGCTTTTTCATTAGCGTGTACCTACTTACATATACGTATGAGTAGCAAAATATGTATATTGATAAAGTTGGGTTAATCTTTTTAGGTACGTATTATATATAAATAAGTTGTATATACATATTGTATATAAGTACAAACATTTGTATAGTCCATATAAAACGTATTTATCATTAATAACGTAACCCATATTTTAAAACTTCTGACATTTTTTATTCAACTAATTATATCCACTTTCTGTGAAAGATCTATTGTAAACATTTATAGATTGAATAACAATTATAATCAATGTTTAACTAAAATATTTGTTTCTTTCAGTATCTACAATTTGTGTTCACGGTAAAGCTTACTTAACATTCTCTACTCAGGCGCGGGAACATTCGAAGGTAGATAATGATGATATCGTTATTTGAACGAATTGGTTGGATATCATTAGACAATTTATGAACTCCTAACCTATTACTACCCCACAATTTCGTTACTCTACCGTTCCATCTCTTTGTCTTTTAAAAAGAGAGATAAAGTGGCATAACATGAAAGTATGTAATGATTCATAACCGGGAAAATGATCGCGACTGGCCAATAACGTTTTTTCTCGTTTGACGATAAGAATATTTGTAAGTAAATGAATCTCTTTTAATTATTACATATTTCCAAATTTTCGATATTAAAACGATGTTGATCTAAAATGTTCGATTAAAAAGAATCAACGGATAAGCGTTATCAAAAAATAAAATTATCTTTTGACGGTTTCCAATAAACTGCGATCCGCTTTGTCTGATAACATATCGCGTTTCGTGTGCACGCGGCATGAATTTATAACTTGATCATTGTTAACGCATAGCACCGCAAGAGTGCGCATTATTCAGTGAAAAAAAATGGTGGTTATTTGGGTGTAGTCGGGCGATTGTCTGCAACACAAATGTGAGTACCGGCTGACTAAAGAATTACGAGTGCTGTTTGTCAGTGCGTCGCGAAGCTAATATGACTGTGTCCATATCGGAGGTAATGAAACTGTCGATAACCGAACGAATATATTGTATGTAGGCACGAAACCGCGACACTATGTAGGTATTGTTGTTCACGCATCTCCGCATGACAAATCTTGCAGTCTTCTCGATGCATTTTATCAGTAAAAAATTTGGGATCGACTTATGACGTTCTTAGAGGATGAAGAGATTTGTATCTATCCATACGTCTGAAATCCCCTTGCCGTGGGACAATGTGTAAAATATGCACTAACGCGATATTTTTGGGATAGATGTCACATTATCTTGGTATCTGACTATATGCGCGCGTACGAATGTGTACATTTATTTGATTTACGGTATATGTGTGTGGTACTTCCTCTTCACCCCGTAATACACAGTCGTTCTTGTGTACAGCATGCAGTGCAACGGTGTGTCCGTGAGATACGTATATCACAGTATATACGTAAGACCTGCTACTTGCTATATACTGTCAACATTTTTCAAGTGACTGTTCCATGATGCTTGACAACATACTGCGTTATTGACGAAGTAAATTTTTTTCCCGTTCATTTTCTTCGTTTAGACATGTAGTACCGCGTTCGTTTCGTTATAGTTCGTGAAATATAAGTTTCACCTTGTTGATAAATAACGAAATATTTGTATCTAACGTTAGATATATATCTAAAGCACTAATTCCGAGATCGGTTGCCCACACATTTATTGGCAGTAGATGTGATCAACATTTATGCTATTGATGTTGCTAAATTTATACAATCCATACAGCATATAAACGTTTGCAAAACAGGAATTACATAGTGCTACAAGAAAGACCATACACACGCAATTCTGCCCTCTGTAAAATAGATTAATTCAAGGTTTATTGATAGAATTCTATTTCGATCACAATGTTCTTGTGTCCCTGATTTTGTTTTTTTATTCATAGAAAATGAGTTAGTGATTCAGTTTAATTTTTAATATTGTTACCATGCAAATCGTAAATTATTCATATATTTACCATATGGTATGTCATATATGTATATGTATATACGTATACTACACATAAGTGTTGGCACATATTTAATGCAAACTTTCAAAAAAAATTGTTGATGTTATTGAAAATGAAAAAATATATATCCAATGTGAAAAATTAGAATGAAATAATTCTATATAATTAATAATATTTTTTTATCCTTCATGTGGAAAAAACATAGTTTTTAACGAATTTTTAAATATCAATAAACCTTTGATGCATTATTTAACTAGCAATAATTAAATTTGTAGTTCCCAAATTTACTGAATTCATAGTTTTTTTTTTTTTCCCTGTATAAGTCAAAACTTCTTAAATACACTTATAGCAATATTTTTTTAATTGATTTAAACATTTATATATTTTAATTTTTAACATAGATCCTTGAAAGATTTGATATTTTAGAATGAATAAGAATGAAAGAATGTGAACTTAAATATGATATCTATTAAGTACCTTATAAACATATTAAGTATGCAAGGTAACTAAACTTTTGTACGGTATATTTTGGGATTTCTAAAAAAATCATTTATGTACATGGTTTCATTCCATTATTTTGTGCATTAACGGTACATTTATTAACATTTTCTTATTAATATTTTTGCGATTGTTATATGAATGATTTTTTTGATTTCAGAATTATTCAACTTGTTGTTTGGTATTAAATATTTATTGAGAATTTGAGATAACAGAATATATACAGTAAACAAAGAAGAAATCTGTGATGAACATAAGAATCATAAACTCTGTACGCTATAAATACGTTCAGAATTTTATAGTCGGAGAAACAATCTTAGTTAAAGATACAAGCTATTTCCCTAAAACATAATATGACAGTAAAAATTTGCATTAAGTTTCTATATACGAAATAATTTAAAAGGAAAGCTACAGAGTAAAGTACACAAATTTTATAAAGTGAGCTCATTTGTAAGTTGGTTATGTGCAATGCCGAGATGCTGCAATGAAAGCAAGGCAGTGAGTTCGGTGAGCAACAGTCAGAAACACAATACAGAGGATATTTTGTTAACGCAAACACGTGCTTTTTCAATCGGAAATCAGTTGGAGTTAGACGACGATCCGCCAATTGTTGAGAAATCGCACAGAAGAGTGCGGTGTGATTTAAGTCCAGTTCCAACAAACACGAGTACTAATTTGAATATAAAACTTTTAAGCATTAAGGTAAATTTATTTATTATTTAAGCGTATTAGTATACAAATGAACATATGAACCAGACATTATTTCTCTATTGATATATCGATTTCTTGTGACATTAATGTATTTGTTATAGGGAGATAGAAACACTCGTCAAGATCATCAGGTGAGCACTGGATCTGGTGGGTACAGAGAACGAGAGAAAGAAGCTAAAAAGAGAGCAGCTATAGGCAATACAGTGCGCGGGCTTTTCTCATCTGGCCACAGCAGGCAGGACAGGTATAATGATGTCTGTATCAAAATCATGCTTCTTACATTGTCATGTTTTACCTTCTGTCATTTAATTTCTTTGCTGTGATTCATTTTTTGCTTTTTATTTAAGTGTGATATATTTTATATGATCGATATACATACAGAATGTCTCAAGAATAAGTGATGCAGTCAAAAAGCAGATAATTCTACGTTCAAAAGTAAATTGGCAATATATAATAATGGTTTTTAAATTTCATTCTACATTTTCGATCTAATTTTATATTGAGAATCACTTGCTTCATAGTTGTACCACTCATTGTAGAACACTGTGTATATTTCATTAGTTTGAAAAGCATTTTGCTGTCTGTTCCTTGATATAATGTATTTCTTTCAGAAATTCCATTCTCTGGAAAATGATTTTCTTAATTTTAGGTTTTCAACTTATCGAATTATTATAATTTTTACATGTTACTCATAGAGTACAATAATATTTCAAATAATGAAACTACACACACACAGAAACTTCTATGCATCTCATCTGTACTTTATATGTACATACTAAATGTATCGTGATCATTAAAACGTCAATTAATATCCTTCAAAACTATAGATGTTAAGATCGATTCATGTGTATTTCACAAATGGAATTTATGTTGAAAATTTGTACATAAGGCCAAAAACTAGTATAGTAATGAAAATAGCTTTCATTTTGTAAAGTTGGAAAGTTTCACTCAAAAACTAAAAATGTAAATTCAAATATATTTTCAGAATTACTGAGCCTCAGCTTGAAGTATGAAATTTTTTAGATATTCAAAGGTTAGTGGTTATATGATTCAGATTATTGTTATGCTGCAGTATAAGATTATTCGATTAGCACTTATCACCCTTGAAACATAAAAAAAAAATGATAATATTCCATTAATAGTGTTATTATATCATTTGCATTATGTTTGGCTTTTAACTTTTAAAAATTGCATTATATTCATAGATATTATACATTGTGTTTCTAATTTAGTTTCTCATTTGTATAAATAATATCCAAATGTTTTACATATCTCATCTTCTTGTGAGATTCAGCAGTAATTCAAGACATCATTCATGACATTTTGGCATTATGTAATGTAACATAATTTCAATTCCAACATGTACATTCAGTACTGATGAGACTAAAAACTTGATTAGCATCTCAATTTATATTTACCACCATTCATATATGCGCGTACGCGTGTAACATTTTCCTATTATTGATTTATATGCATAAGATTTTACTATTGCTTTAAGGTATTAAATACAGTTTTAATTTGCTTTTTCGGTAGTTGTATTGTCTTGGAAAGATAAAACATAAGTTTATTCCATAAAATAACTGAAAGCTTGTCTTTTAAAAGTTTATCTATATCACAAACATGTAGGTCGATTACTACTGTATTAGTGCACTTCCAAACATTATGGAAGGATCGTGTAATGTAACTTAGTTAATATCTTTCTCAATGAAACGGAATAACGTTTAGGACATTTTATTACATTTTAAGAAGTAAAAAATAAAGTTTTTTCAACGATGTATAACATAAAAGTTACGTAGCATTTTCAATGATGTTTTAGGTATGAGACAAATAGGCAACGTTCTTCAGGCGGAAGTGGCCTGTCAAGTTTATGTCCAAAGCTGGTGGCCAGTGGAGGCAGTAGTAGCCAGGGTGGGATTAGTTTGGCAGTGGGACACTTAGCCTCTCAGGAAGGTGGAGGCCCATGTTCAGTTGTTACCACTCAAAGAATTCATAACCACACACATAACCATAAACGCCAAAGAAAATTGTCTATTGTTTCACAAGCTGGTACTAGTACTCATAATTCTGGGGACCGAAAAGTTCGTACATTTTTCACATTAACCGCACAGATGAGCATTCTTGTAAATAGATAATAAATATGAATGTTTTACTTAGACATCAAATATAAGTCGTTCCTCTACAACAATCTGCAAAAAGCAAATACGAACGCAGAGGACTGATCATAGCGCGGATTTATTATCTATAACAACGAACGGAGTTGCGAGTAATTCACCTTCTTCTAAAAAGAAAGTTCTGTCTGCATTGCGTATTTCTGAAAAATCATCGTCTCGGAATCTCAATTCACCATCTTTGGAGAATGAAAATGAACGCAGTTTTAGCGATGCAGAGGAAGCTATTACAGCAACAGAAAATGTGTTCAGTATACCAGGTACTGTATACTTGTATAAATTCTTATAGCTCTTATATAAATTTGTAAATATTGTGATTGATATTAAAAATCTTATTTCATAATACAGGATCCAGTTCTACACCTTCAACACCAATTAATCGAGTGAGGTCGAAAAAATCGGATGAAGATGAAACGAGCGTGGAATGTAGTATCAGTGAAGAAGGTGCTAAATCGTCACAGAATGTATCAGTTAAAAAAGTATCATTAGATTCTAGCGAGCAAAAAGGTACGGAATGTTCTGAATCTTCTAAAATTTCTAATATTACGAGAAAAATATCGGCAAATAGTATTGACGAAGAAACACCTACACAAAACAAACAAAAAGTACTCTCTACATCTTCCATAAGTACGAAATGTACCAACAGCGAGAATAAACCTACAAGATCTAAAAATAAGTATGTTACAGAAAAGATAATTGAGCAGCAAAATAATAAAAATTTGAAAGAGACACCAAGCATGGAAAAAAATATAAATACGACTGTAACGTCCACAGAAACGTCCACAAGTTCAGCGTCTAATAATAAAAATAATGATAAAACAAAACGAAAAACGTCTACCGATTCTTTAAAGGCTACTAATGTTACGGAAAAAGAAGATTTAACTAAGGATTCCGAAGAAGACGTGACCGGGGATAAGAAAGATACAGAGCAACATGAGGAACTAGTGAAAAGTTCAAGGTTTGTAACATCGAAAGTGTCAGAAGAGATAGTGGAGACCGAGGGTAAGGATATGGAGGCACAAAGAGAAGAAGACGAAGGAGAAGTGACGATATATGACGAAGATGACAATGGCACCAGTATTAGCGATATTGTTGCCACACAAGCGCTTCATGAATCTCTGAGTAAGTTAGGAAAAGTACCACCTTTAGATACAGAAATGGAGGACGTTAAAGACACGGATACGCAGGATGAAACGAAAATTGCGAAAGATTCTCAAAAAGAAGTGGTCGCGCACGAAGAAACAGCGGAGGGCTTTATTGGCCCTTTACTCGATGAAAACTTTAAAGCGGATGAAAAATTAACGCAGAAAACAATGGCGATGGAAGAAGTTCAAAGTCTGTTGCTAAAAGTGAAAATTCAGAACGTTGAAGATGACGATGACGAAGAGAAAGCTATAGGTATATCACCGGATGGGAGATTTTTGAAATTCGAGGAGGAAATCGGTAGAGGTAGCTTTAAGACTGTATACAGAGGTCTGGATACTCAGACTGGCGTGGCTGTCGCTTGGTGTGAATTACAGGTAAGAAGATCAAAATCATGTATTTTTCTATAGTGTCGTTATAGTTGTGATATTTATTTTAAAGTATTCTCTTTTAGGAGAAAAAATTAAATAGAACAGAAAGACTGAGGTTTCGAGAGGAGGCGGAAATGTTGAAAGGGCTGCAACATCCAAATATTGTTAGGTTTTATGACTATTGGGAAGTCACGCTAACACGTAGGAAATACATTGTACTAGTCACTGAACTTATGACTTCAGGTACATTAAAAACGTAAGTTATTTTAAAATATCTTTAAACAGATTGAATTTTTATTATTATTATTTTAATTTATTATATAATTTTACACAGGTACCTACGACGTTTTAAAAAGATTAATCCGAAAGTAGTGAAGTCCTGGTGTCGACAAATTTTAAAAGGCCTTAGCTTTTTACACTCTAGATCACCGCCGATTATTCACCGTGATCTGAAGTGCGACAATATTTTTATTACTGGTACTACAGGGAGTGTAAAAATTGGCGATTTAGGGCTTGCAACGCTTAAAAACCGAAGTTTTGCAAAGAGCGTTATTGGTACACCCGAATTCATGGCGCCTGAAATGTACGAAGAACATTACGATGAATCTGTCGATGTTTATGCATTTGGAATGTGTATGCTTGAAATGGCTACTAGTGAATATCCGTACTCTGAATGCACTGGACCAGCGCAAATATATAAACGAGTTGTATCGGTAAATAATATTCGTTTTAATTAATATCAGTTAAGCTTTGTACTCTTAACTTAATATTAGTTCTCACTTAGTTCTACAGGTTACGTGTTATTAATTAATATTTGCATTATACAGGGCGTAAAACCACAGAGCTATGACAAAGTGGAAAATCCAGAAGTGCGTGAAATCATAGAAATGTGTATTCGGTTAAAGAAAGAAGAACGCCCGTTGGTCAAAGATCTTTTGAATCACGAATTTTTCGCGGACGATGTTGGATTAAAATTAGAAATGGTTTCGCGAGATTCGGCGGTTGCGGATGCAGAACTATCTCGTGTCGAATTTCGACTACGAGTATTAGATCCCAAGAAACGTACTAATAAACATAAAGAGAACGAGGCAATACAATTTGATTTCGACATTCAAGCCGACAATGCGGAAGAGGTAGCCTCGGAAATGGCTAAATCTAGCTTAATACTCGAAGAAGACGTTAAGGCTGTAGCAAAGATGTTAAAATCGCAAATCACTACTCTGTTACGAGAAAGGGAGGAACGTAAAGCCAAAGAAGAAAAGGAACGTCTAGATAGAGAAGCGGACACCACTAACACGGCTAATGAAAATCTATTGCAGCAACAATTGCTACTCCAACAAATGCAATTACAACAACAGTTACAGTCGCAACAACAGATGCAATCAAATATGGGCATTCAAATGCAGGGCCAAGTACAAATGCAGTTACAACAAAACCAAATACCGCTTCAGTCGCAGCAACAAATGCAACCTGCCGCGCAACAATCCCAGCAACATAATTTGCAACCTCAACAAGTTCAATTAGTTCAACAGCAACCATTGATACAGCAGCAAACGTCGGTCGTGCAGCCCCAGCAAGCGCAGCAGATGCAACAAGTGCCACAAGTTTCGCAACAGCAAGTTCAGTATCAACAGCAACAGTATCAGCAGCAATTGCAGCAGCAGTACCAACAACAACAGCAGCAACAATACCCTCAGCATGTTTCGCAAAATTTAACAGCTGCCTCTTCTCAATGTTCTACGCCTCAGACCGTGCAAACACAACCACAATTCCCTCAAGTACCGCAACAGATACAACAACAACAGCATTTGCACCAACAACAACAATATATACAGTTGAATCAGATGAATATGCCTCAACAGTTGAGCCATCAAATGCAGTCGCAGATGCAATCTCAGATACAAATTTTATCGCAGCAACAGCATGTGCATCAACAAATTCAACAACCTCAACAAGTGCAGTATCCTCAACCGCAGGTACAGCACGTCCAACAAGTACACCAACATGCAGTGGGTTCTCAGCCCGTTCAAAACCAACAATTCTATCAGCAAAGTACCTCAGGAACTTCTGGATATAATGCACAGCCTATGTACCAACAAAATATACCTCAACAAATATATCATTCGTACACAAGCTCCAATCCTACTGGACACGTCGAAATTTTATCATCCAACCAACCTGCGGCTCAAATTTATCCTCATGCGACTATTCCTGGAAGCTCGGCGCCTCCAACTTCGCAACCTTACATACAGCAACAAACAGGACAAGTTCAAACGTCTGTACCATCCAGCATAAATATTCAAAGTTCATCGTCGGCAGCTCTTATACAAAGTGCAACATCTTCTACTATTCCAAACATGCAAAATACATCTACGATTCTTCCAAGCAGCGGGCATCAATCACAGTCCCAACAAAATGTCTTAGTTCAGATGCAGTATCCGCAGAATTCCAATGTTCCCGCTTCTGTTCCTATATCATCCGGAATGAGTGTCCCAGCGCATTCAACGACAACGTCACAGCACCAGCAACATTTCGTTTCAACAACCGATCAGTGTTCTACCACAGATAGAGCATCATTGCCTAAGCAGGATACAATGGATTCCATACAGTCATTGCCAGCAGATTTACCTTCTAACATTCAAGATTCAACGAATACATCTAATTTAGCTAATACAAACGTTACGTCTCAAACCTCAGTACCAGGCGAAGGGTAAATTACGAAATTTTACTTATTCGAAAAATAACCCCCATTTAAAAATTTCATACGATGTTTTACTTTGCATAGAGTGACTCAAGAAAATTCCGAGAACGTTGCCTCTGAAAGATGTAAGATAAAAAGATCGACTACGAAGCGCAAAAAGCCTGGTATTAAATTGACAGTTTTGTCTGTAAGCAGTGGCGAAGGGCAATCTGTAACCGTTGAATGCCAGCTAGATACGAGCAAACAAAAAACTGTGACGTTTAAATTCGATAGAGATGATATGGTACCTACCGACATTGCCAACAATTTGGTAAGCAAGTGATATTACTTTAAATATTACTATTGCAGCGTTAATAACAGAAATTTATATTACTTTGTTTATTTTTATTTGCAGGTCGCCGAAAATTTATTACCTCAGTCTCAGTGTGAAACATTCGTAGAACTAATAGAGGATATTGTTAAACAATTGCGTTTGGATCCTACACGGACATTACCTTTAGTGGCGCATGGTCCACCGGATCAATCGGCTGGTGGTAGCCCAGTTACAAGCCGTCGACCCAGAGATCGTGACCACAGTCTTGATACAGCTAAGGTAACGGTTTCCCTTTCATCCGTCATTTCATTTTCGGAATATTAATTAACTATTACAAACGAAATTGATCGGTTTCCATTGAAAATCAAAGCAAATAAATTCTGAAATGTTTTCGAAAATGAGTATTGTTAATAGTGTTATTAATTGCTATTCAAGGATCCGATACACAAAAGTCCATAATACCGTATCCTAGGACTGTTTCGCTTTTAGAAAAACTATCTTAAAGTGATGTAATTGTCGTCATAGCTTTGAAGTTCGTTTTTCCATAATGGAATTATACATTTTATACATTTCGTGTCAGAATAGCTTAGTGGTCTTGTGCTCGATATGTGTATCACATGACCTCGCAAAAAAAACAAGGGCGCGCATATAATTGGTGTGTATCGTTTTGGACGCAGCAGGTGAGACATGGCTCGCTAACTCGTCAAAGCAGCCACCGATCGTCGTACAAAGTCCATCGTAGACACCGTTCGGTGAGTTCATCGTCCCCGCCGTACCCCCCATTCCCGTTTCCTATATTTCGTCGTACAGTCGTGGACGTTTGTGCATCCTTTTTAATTCACGATACATTGTGTTCGGACGTTTGTGTATCTTTTTAAGGCACAGCAATTTCATATGACGACATTTCCTGTGTTTTATACGTTCATCACGTAGGCGATTCGTAATACAATGTTTGGAGTATTTAAACAAGGTGTTCCATGCTTTTATTTTGTATCGCTGTTAATCCTCACGTTTAATTTTTACTCAGAAAGCGTTTCAGGAAGATTGTATTCCTTCAAAGAAAGTATGATCCCCGTTAGAGATATCGATTCACATAAGCCACTGTATTTCAGACAATATTGTGTATGCGAGATCCAACATTAATAGAGACAAACGATTTTAGATTTCTCAAATAGACAGGAAATAGCATTTATTCGAACGATTTCGCTAAATGTATTGTCACTTAAAAGTAGATGATCATCATTAGATACTCGTAATTGTGTTTCCCTTTGAACATGCCATTTATTGTGATTCTATTTAAGCATACTTTGTAATGGACTATTTAGTTTATGACGTAGCCTTGTTTTTGTTCATGTGCATTACAATTACTTTGTGAGAAAGTTTAACAGTTTCGTCTGAACAATTACGCATTATATGTTTCCAGAGAGACGAAACCTCCAATACCTCTACACCGACAAAATTGTTGCAGATCGACCAAATTATTTCTCACATTACGAACGCCTCCTCGGAGAAGCAACAAAATGTGCAAACGCCTGATAGCCAGGTGGGGCATGAAAATACATCGGCCGAAGCATCCAGACGATCATCTACCTCGACGCAAAATACAGACACATTAACGCCGACCAATTTACCGAGCGATCCGACCGATACACAAGAAACTGTAATCGCTATGACAAACGCAGACACGGGTTTGGATGGGTATCATATGCCTAAAGATGATATTACTAAATCCTATCAGTGCTCGACATCGTACACTCAAAGTCAAATACAGGATCTAACGAACCAAGCGAATGAAGTATCAAAAGAATCTATAGTTCAGGATATGACGGAACACCAAGAAAAAGAAGCAAATAAAGAAATGCAATCTGACGCTACAGCTACGGAAGTGGCTGCATTAACTGCGCCACCACCAATGCGAAAGATCTCTCGTTTTTTAGTCAGTCCTGTAGTCGAACAAAAGGTTCTTACAAACGAAGAGGAAGGATCTACCACTGTCGTAGAAGGTACAGACAAATCTAATCTTCCGACGATGCAATCGACCGTATTACAACCTAGCGTGGCTGATGATGGACAAGTAAAGCACGATGATTCGGAAGCAAATGTTTTAGAAACGCAAGTCGTAAATGTTCCTGAAAAGTCTAATAGCGAAGCGGTTATACAGAACATTCAGTATGTTACGGAACAAGGAGATAATGTCCAAGCAATGCAATCAGGGCAACAAACAATTGGTATTCAAAGCACCGTGCAAGGACAACCGATGCAACAAATGCAGCAAAATATCAGTGCTATGCAGTCTAGTCCACACAATGTAATTATACAATCGTCTCAGCCAATACAACCTGTTCCTCAAAACATCGTGGTTGCGCCGCAAAAAGATCTACAAGCTCAAGTTCCCTCGAATGGAGTCAACTTGCAAGGGCAATATCAGAATCAGCCTATGCAACCTAACATTCTATTACAACAGCAACAGCAACAACAACAAATGACTGCGCAACACAATTTAACGCAAATGCATATTCAATCTGAACATCAGCATCAAGGACAAATGCAAGCTCAGCGACCATTGCAACAATTCCACTCTCAACAAATGCCGCAACAACATCAACAATATGTAATGCTTTCCGGGCCAATACAACAATTACAGCCAACCGCAATTGTAGACGAAAGAAATCGTAGAATTTCAAATATCTCTACAACGTCAAATATGTCCACAGATTCACAGATGTCGGAAATAGTTAATCTTACTGATGATAAAAAACAGTTGATGGTTGCGCCTAACGCATCTATGCATCACGTTCAAAATGTTCAACTTATTCCGCAACAAGAGGGATCAAATATTGCACCTATTTCGCAGACTGTTTTAGAACCAGTTCAGCAGCTCCAAGCAGCTCCTCAAAATCTAGTGAATGTTTCAATGAATACATCCGTTCCTGTTTCAGTTCCTACCCACCAAGTTGTCGCTACAGAAATTGCCCCGAAAGTTACAGTAAAAACGAAGGAAGTATCGTCAACACTTCCAGACTTGGCGCAGAATTTAGCAAACATACTGTCAAATCCAAAATCGAAGTCCACAACGCCTCATTGCTTGACTAGTCACGAGCAAAGTTCGACTGCCAACGTTGCAGCAGCTACAGTAATTGAATATAAACCTGCTCTTCAATCTGAACAGTATTTTCAACCTATTCAACCCGAAGCAAGTCAAATGCAAATGTCTTCGCAATTGCAACACAATTATCAAACAAATACAGTGCAGCAAGGAATTTCACAAACGTTCCAAATTTCTCAGCAACCTCATCAAGCTCAACAAATACCTTTGCAACAAACAATGCAATTAAACGCAAATCAACAAATGGATCCTCAGTTACAAATATCGCAACAAACTTTTCAAGGAGTATCGGTACAAACGCTCCCGTTGCAAGGGAAATGGATTGCTACCGCGAATCAAAATATTTTACAGCAGACTGTACCAATAAGACATACTCAACAAACTCTTCCGTCGTTGCAGCAAATTGCCCCTACACAACAGCAAATTATACAAGATATACAGCACTCAGAAAGCTTTCCTACACCCGATCAGTCTCAGTTACACATAAAACTTCCAGATCAACAACTTTTAGGAAAAACATCAGAAGCTGAAAATCAAGATACAACTAATTTTACTGGGTATGTACATTATAGTTACGGCATTGGATTGTTTGGTATTGTTACCTAATTCTGTATTTTATATAATTATTTCTTTTGTTTGAACATTAGACGCGTTAGTACTGAATATCATCTGCAATCGGAGACAGAAAATTCCAGCCATGACGTAACTCCTGAACATACAATTGTTGAATCTGTCGACTCGGCGTTGTTTATGCAAAACCAGATATTACAACAACAGCAGCAGCAACAACAACAGCAGCAGCAGCAACCGCAACAACAACAGCAACAGCAACAGCAGCAGCAACAGCAGCAACAGCAACAGCAACAGCAACAGCAACATCGGAAGCTCAGCCAACAGAATTCTTTAGATAAAGTCTCGGACGTAACTATCGGAACAAGTGGTCCAGGTGGAACAGGTCCACAGACAATAGCGGACCTCCACCAAAAACTTGTACAGCTAACAAATCAGCCGTCCGAAGCACACAATGTAGGCACGCCGCCTATAAGTTATCCAGCCACCCCTCATAATCACCAAATAATGGGAGGATATGATGCGTACATGCATTCTTTACAGCAGAAGCTTGTTAACATTGGTATGCCAATCTCAACTACACATGGCATAGTAAGTATAAGTTGTATTTTTTTAAATACATGCCAAATTAATCATGAATTACTAATACGAATAATTGATCGTAGGGTCCTTTATCACCTCAGACAACAATCCAATCTTCAACTGCTCTAACCGATTCAAATGTTACAACAAATGTTGAAAATTCCGTCTTAAATCAAGAAGCCTCCATTCATCAACTTGCACTGTCTCAAACCGTAAGTTTTGTATTAATATTTTTCAAAGAAGGAAGGGGGGGGGGTGTAACCATTAGAGGATGAAGGTGATCTCATAATCCAAAGTCTCAAAATTCTAATTTAAACCTCTTATCTGTCACTAATAAAAAATTGCTTTCTCTCAAACATCTTTATTATGTTAAATAATAACATATACCTCAGTTTTATATTACAGAAAGTTGTCTTGTGTATTTAGCATGTAGATTGCTCCCTTGATAGTCCAACGCCAGGAGGGGGTCCTGCAGGATCAGAAACCATGAGTCCTAGTAAAGAGAATATCAAAGTACGAGCGCAGAGGCCTGGATCTCGTCTCCAGGAACTGGAACAGGAGTTGGCAAAAATTCATCACAGAGGCTCGATTCTCTCGACGTCGTCACCGCAACCTTTGACGCCACCCGTTTCTGCTGCTACCTGTATTCAAATGCAGCCGTCTCTGCAATCTACTCAAAATTTATTGACCACCGTTCCACCTGCGACAGCTGTGCTTGTTGCTAACGTTACTCCCAGTGTCGTTACATGCCGCTCTGACACAAACACACCAGTGTTAGCAGAATCCCAAGAAAATGTTCTCGAGGTAAGTATTAATTGCATATGATAAGCGTTTTCTGAAAAATGAAATAACTATGCAATTTTAATAGAAGGTTAGTACAACTCAACCTGTTAGAAAAATATCAAGATTCATGGTTTCGAAGGTCGCAGGTCCTCCGAGTAATGCTGCTGCATCAACCCAACAACAACAACATACCGAGGATCCAAAGATTTATCACGCGGAGGACACGCAGGGTAAGCATTCAGTATCAACTTTCAGAGAATTGAATGTATAAGTTTTAAATAATTTCTTAATTATAGGTACACCGGTACAAGTAATTCATAGTCGTGAAGGTTCTATTCCACCCGCGCAAACTAATCAACCTATTAGTGTTCCTACTCTAGATGTAAATATCTTTGTTGAAAATGTATTCAATATCAAACATGTTGATAATATTTTAATCAAAACATTGTTGTATCACTTCCAGCAAACCGAAAAGGATGAACGATTTTGGACATTGACACCAAGCGAAGAATATCAACTGCTTATAAAAAAGTAAGTTTATTTCTTTAATGATCCAGTGACAATGGTTTTATAGGCATAACCACGCATAGTTTATTAAACGTTTCGATCCAGTTATGAAAACGTATGCACTAATTTCTTACTAGTTGCTAAAAAAAGAAATTAAAACAGAGCATTGATTGATGTATCATTATTTAGGCAAACTATGGAGTTGGAGACATTGCAAAGAAGACACAGGGAAGAATTGGAACGCTTCCAGCAACATCAGTTACAATTATTGATTCAGCAGCAACAACAAGCAAGTGCACTTCATCAGCATCACCATCAACATCACCCGGTGCTTTATCACACCGTTGCGACTAGTTTGGCAGGTGAGTAATTATTTTTAATTTCCGTACGTTAATAAATTATACATTATTTCGTATTACATGTTAGATTTGTATCGTCCGTTATAATGATATGGTTTTTTATTTAATACAGGACAAACTAGACTTCCAGGTACAGAAGACTATTTAGTATTTAATACAACACCTCAAACTCCATTGCAAAAAGCTTCAAGTAATTATCCAGACACCGATGAAACATTGCGATTAGCTATGCAGAAATTAAAGCAGACTCCTTTGCAACTACAACCGCAGCAGGCAACGGCTGGAATACCACACGCTTACGTTATTCCAATTCCAGTAGTGCCTTCTGAAACTATGCAAAATATGCCCTCGCAACAATCCAGTAGTTATACAAATGAATTAGAGTCATTTGATTCGTCACATAATTCAGCAATTATAAATTCAGCTCAATATCAGTTCACACCTATATTACCGGATGGAACGAATATTACCGTGTCCTCCACTGGATCGTTAGTCACGCCTATTCCAATATCGAGTACGACGGGAAGCGGGAGTTACATTCAATATCACGAGAACCAAACATTACCAAACTTTCAAACATTTAGTTGTACACCACACGGCGGTTTCTTTTTACCGGCTGGCTATCGACTAATATACGCTCCTCCTGGAGCGACTCAGTCACAACCAGCTACGCCAGCTACACCGCATGTCGGAAATTCTCATGACGGTACACCGCCAGCAGAGCCGTTACATGCGAATACTGATAATTCAACTGTTCCTCCTTCCCATACCGATCAATAACGTAACTTTCAGCAAGCTATGTTCTACATTTTTTCAATTTAATCGTTCTCGTAATACATTCTTAATTTAACTTGTTGCCCTTATCCACTAGTATGAGATGATGCATTATCATTACGATTGTTATTCTAATATAGTTTTGCTAATACGTATTGCTACCCTCGTCCTCGTGGGTGTGTATGCAGAGGAGGCGCGAATGAAAGTATTTAGGATGTATATTCGATATTGTAACATCCACGCGTAATCGCTAAAATATTTTCGCCGAGACGCGCGAGCATGATATTAATATTTGATATGTGCCTCGCAGCAAAAGTAAAGCTCGATTCATATGCGAAGAATATTTTGAACGAATTAAGTTTTTGGACGAAAAAAAAAAAAGGAAAAAGAAAAGGAAGAATGAAAGGTTGAAATTGAGGATAGAGGCCTTTACGTGTACTGTGCTTATACATATAGCGAATATCCTTGTTTAGTGAAAATGCTTATTGAAAGACTTTTTCTGCTCTGAATTCTTTAATACCTAGCACAGTTTACATTAGTACAGGCCTCAGCTAGTCTTACGATCGAAATGGCATACAGCCATTCTGCTCGATGTATATGTATAACTGTTAATGTATACTGGATGCTTTGAAGAGAGAATGTTCATGTGTGCATGTATGTGATTGCAGGAGTCAGACGGAGAAGAAATATGATTAATATAGTCACTGTTATGCTTTAATGTATTTCTAGCAATTTTACCTACTTCTATTAAAAAAGTCATGTGTTACTAGTTAGCAGTCCCATGTATCTTATCTAATATTATATCGACTACTACCTTTTTTAGACTCCATTATCAATATTTTTATTATCGCATATTTAATTTATCAAAGTTCGAGGTTATTTCACTAAAATTGGCATTTCATTTATAATATGTTGGAAAATATGTTCTACATAATTCATTCCTTTAAATCATATAGGAATTTTATTATTTAACAAGTTCCATTTCCAATAATTAAATCATATCTAAAAATTGAATGGTAATCCCAGGTATTGAGAGTCTAATGAAAAAAAAAAGCTCAATAGAAACATGGCATAGGTATTAAATAAATTCATACACGTTTTAACGATATCGAAACATAAAATGATTTAATGTTTGGATTACATCCTAGGAAATATATTTTCAAGTTTCATCTGTGCTATCACATATTGCATTTTGCAATATAGTTAAGAATAGCTTGTTTGTATAACTACAAATATTATTACTACTGTTTATTGATTATAATGTTATCTTTATTTCGTTCAATTAATTGCAGTCCGCGCCGCTTTTAATGTTGCGAGTTATTACTGCGTCTGGCATGAATTTATTATTGTCAGTATTACAGTTACAAACACTATTTTCAAACTGAATACGAATTTTTTCTTACGAGCTCCAATAAAAATTTATATGGATCATAATTATGTACAGACGAAGTTCATAAATTTTCAGAAGTTCTTATACACGTTACTTGTATGTTTTAGGCACTAAAATTTCATTGTTTTTAAATTTTCTCGGTAAACAGCATAAATATAATCACCAACCCTAATATCCAGTTGATCCACCTGGTAATAAATTCATGTGACTGTTGAACGAAACACTATAATAGATAATTGTATGTATTTCTTGTGGAAATACATTGCAATTACTCTTATATAGTTACTTTTAAATAAATTTATTAAATAATACTCAAAGAGAATGTGTAACTTGTAATACTTAATTGTATATACATTCATTTACTGTTAGGTGGATTGGCTTTTAATGAAGATGCAGTTTCTATATTCGATCATTAATAAAAGCTGACTATTTAATTTTTTTTACGTAAACTACGTTTAGTGTAATAATTTACGGTGATATAGTTTGGTAAAGCTTGTTGTTATTTTTTTTTTTTCTTCTTTTTTTGTTTTTTCTTTTTTCTACAAACTATTCATTGAATGCGATGAAACATGAACAGACAATAGAATGAAAATTATTTCAACATTGCAATGAACTATTTCCTTCTAAACATATTTTGTACAATATGAGTTTAACTGTATCTAGTATTATAACAATGGTATGATTGGAGTAACTTTTTTTTTGTAAAACATTTTGATTGTTTTACCAAAGAATACCAAACAGCACTGTTACATACGGAAAAAACAATTCAATATGAATTCATCATAATTCTCTTCTACCAATATGGCATCTAACTTGATGGAATTGAACTTAGTGCATTCAAACTTAGGTATTACAATATATTTTTCAGAAAATCTGACAAAAAAAACACACACACAAGTAAAAGATATTTTGCTATATTTTAAAATTCACACGCATCTTAGTACATATTGCTGGATCAGAATTTTATGAACTAATTTATTCAAATTATTTATTTCACAGATTCACGTAATTAATTGCAATATATATATATAATCAAATGTAGACAATTTGTTGATTTATATATATTGTATGTATCGTATAAGTATACTATTTTAAGCTTATAAATATGTTGCATGATATTTTAAAAATGCAAACTTGAAAATCAGATTTTTCTCACATTATGAGACTATAAGTTATTGAGAACTACTTTTAAATCATATCAAACCTTTTTTCTTTTTTTGTACTCGAATGTAAAAAAAAAAGGAAAATCTTGTCTCAAAGAAACAAAATTACTAAATTTGTCTAGAGATTGTACTCCCGAAAAATTACTTTGAGCAAAGATTAAAATTCAACGATTAAACGAATTGTATGTAATTATTATGAAATATTTTGACTTGAATTCTTAAAATTTCTTGTATTAGTATTTAGTTATCCTGCTTATAATAAAAATGAAAAATATGAAAATTGTTTAGATAAAAATAATCGAGAGCTTTCCTGTACTAACTAGTACATAAGTTCATAGATGCTTTAAGACTTGTGTAAGCTGTGTTGCGTGAGATTCTATGAGAAGTTTTATAAAGACTGATTAGATAAAAGATGCATCAACATTCAACAAATTACAAATTGATGTAAAATTAATTTAAAAAATCCTTTACTTATGTAAAAAGGAATTATAATTAACAGAGGCATACATGAATTTCGTTGACACAAACTTTTTCATAATTTTAGTCATTTAATGCAAAGAAACTTGGAATGATTTATGTAATTGTGCTCAGAATAATATTATCTTCCATTCCTTACTGAAGAAATAACTGCATTAAAATATAGCTTATGATGTTAATTAATGCATTGTATATTTGTGAAAATTTATGAATATATTACGTAGACAACAATATAAAACTTTTTAATTGGTATAGTGAGTACTATATCTTCAATTAATAGATTTTATGTTACAACAATTATTTTTAAACATTCAGAAATATAGAGACATCCAAATCCTATTGTGTAAGTTCAATTAAATATATTAAACGACATACATTGCAAGTAGCTATAATCCGCATTAAATAATTAAGAAATTTTAATTATAAGCATTTACTTTTTTAAACGAATATTTCTCTTTATATTGGAAATTAATTTAATGCACGTAATAATCTCATAACATACGATCTTTTAAACTGATACATTTATCCTTTATTTCCATTTTTGTTCAACTTTATTTAAAAATTATGTAACTAAATAATACCATTGCCATACAAAAACATCTTATTATATCTGGTGAATATAATTTTAAACTATATAAATCACTCTTATTATTAAAAGATATTAACATTTATTAAAAAATTGAATAATGCTTGCAAGAAAAATTAATCTTAATACTTCTTATGTTGATTCAAACGATCTCTTGATTCTTTAAATGTTTATTTAAAACAAGCTTCATTGTTAAATAAGCAATCAATATTTACATTATATTAATATTGATATTGACCAAATGATACGATAAAATATACTTTAAATAAATATTCATATAATCAAGAGATTGCGTGAATCAACTTAAAAAGAATTAAGATTTATTATTTTCATAGGTATTTTTATAAAAATATTGTAAGATCATTATTTGAATTGCTTGACTCCAGTTATTTGAGGTATTTTCTTCCTTAATTTTAAATATCTTAGATATCCTGTAATTCAAACGGAACATGTTACTAGTAAAGTACACGGAATAATTCAAAATAATATATTATTCAAAACACTAAATTTGTTCAAAGAAATGAAACGAGAAATTTTATCGTAGGTCTTACAAATTGATTAAAAATTATAGCATTACTGTCCTACGCAAATTTTAATTCTTATCAGATTTTTTTATCTCATGAATGTTAAATTACACGTCAAGGCATTTTTCAAATGATTATTCGTAATTTAGAAATAAAAAAAATTAACATTAAGTAACGATATACTCACTATGTGACAAATTCTGGAGTCGTGTGCAATCATAATCGTTGCAAAAGATTTTGTCGTCGTGCATAGGCACCCATACATGCAAAAAATCCAACTATCCCGATGATTAATCCGAGTATCAATGCTAAGGTATCACCAAAATCAAAACTAGACGAGGCCGCCGCAAAATCAAACGTCGCAAAAAGAGCGAGCAGGGAATAAATCCACATCTTTTACTATAAAAAAGAAGTGCGCTTAAACAGTGTGGTAAATAACCTCTGTGACGATGTGATTCAATAAATTCAACATTTCTATACAATTATCGACGCAGATTTCACTAACTTTATAATTTAAAAACTTGCATTTTTCCATATTGACACTACACGAAGAAAGAATTGTTGATATTCGTTACTTACCACTTTGTGTTTATATTCAACTACACTTTACTCTAATCAACTCTTGATCATAAGCTGTTTAAAACGAATGAAGTATAAATTGATGTGAAATTGTTCCAAGTAATTAGATAAACTTACTATGGATAGATAATGATTGTATATATCGAGAAATAAGATAGTAAGTTGAAATTATTGCTATTTGGTTTTGGCATAGCATCGTACAAACACGATTTGTTTCATTCTAAGCATTCACGTAATTTATGTTAAGATACGTAATTTCTTTTACATCAAGTCAACCTATAAAATCGACAATTATCCTTTTAATCAATTTTGGTACTTTTTTTAAAATAAATTATACCGTTATACATGTATAAAGAGCGATCGGGGTTAGGTATACATATATATATATACATATACAGGGTGTTCGGCCACCCCTGGGAAAAATTTTAATGGGCGATTTTAGAGGCTAAAATAAGACGAAAATCGAGAATACCAATTTGTTGATCGAGGCTTTGTTAAAAAGTTATTAACGTTTAAAGTTGTAAAGGCAATCTGCGAACAGCTGCGTGTTCATAATAGTGGTTTTCATTCAGCATGAGAAACTCTACTTACTGACGTATCGACGGTCTTACAGTTTTGTAAATGAGAACCACTATCACACGTACCCAGCTGTTCGCAGATTGTCGTTCTACAGGCGGAACCATAAACGTTAATAACTTTTTAACGAAACCTCGATCAACAAATTGGTATTCTTGATTTTCGTCTTATTTTGGCGCGAAGAATCTACCATTAAAATTTTTTCCCAAGGGTGGTCGAACACCAAGACCAAAAAATTTTCTAAATTCTAGATTGATTTATTCCTGTTATCGAACATATTTAATTGTTTTTAATTTAAATAAATAAAAACTTGAACATACATAGCTGGGATATGTAGTTACATTAGATAATGATACAAAATACAATTAATTAATACCGAATGCGTATCTTTAATTCCTCTTTTTGGGATCGCGTCCACATAACAATAAAAATTAACTTTATGTGTCAAAGGAAACGTAAAACTAATAATATTCGGGTTATAGCACTTCTCTGTTCAAGTTCTCTCGCAAGTAAGGTGATTTTCTGTCTCGCTAGGTGAAGTATAGGTACAGAATAATTTGATTAATAAAATCATATGAATCTTTGAAAAATTATGCTTGTCCGATGTATAATTGGATCTGTTGTATCCAATGCGTCTAGAGGTTTGGTAGTGAGACAGACTGACAGCCCTATTCATCTTTAAAAATTCGAATATCAATGATGAATGTAAAATACTTAAAAGAAACCAATCATTTGATATTATTTAACAATTATTTAGTGTTAATACGTTTTGGAACTTCCGAAATGCTCATCATCTTCGAAAGTTTGATCAATTTCAGTGCAACCTTTTAAAAATGGTTAACCAATCAAAAAGCAAACATATGATTGCGTGCGTAGAGTTTAGGTTGGACTAGCGCGAATGCAGCGACACAACCTAATTTAGTGACGTTCAAGGTGCAGCTCCGCGATGTTTAAGGTGGTGTCACTTACTTACTGGGGAAGTATAGAGAGAGATATACTGGCGCGTATCGACCGAGCAAAAACAATTTTTTCCATAGCTGCTTACATATTTCAACTATTTAAGACAGGTACAGTGGATTGAATTGTTTATATATTTGTTCGCGTCTTGCCTGAAGTTTTTTCTAATTCGACGTGTAGCGTGTACCTTTTCAAGGAGATAATCATTGCCGTTTTGTAGCCATTTTGCTATCCGTTGATAAATGCAAGACATTTTCGTACCGACAGGTGAACCGCGTACTTCTTGTCACATATAAAATCCAAACATCCTACCTCGACGCTTCAAACGATCTTTTCAATGTAGGAACCGTTCCTTCGAAGTTGCAATACCATGCTAAAGGATTTTGTATCCATAAAGAATATGTGCGTGAGGCACGCACGATGCGGAATTTTCGAATGCCCAGTGTAAATCAATTTAAAAAGAAGTATGGATGAGCATGAAGGACGAAGGCATTACAATATATTTTTCTTTTATGTATATTTCGTTAATTTCGTTTAATTCGATCGCAGGATTAAAAGGATACATGCTTTAGAAAAATTTCTCTGTTATCGGTCTATGTAGAAACTGTGTATGAGCCTTTTAGATACGTAGAAATTGATGAACAGAAGAGATGTTGTGTACTTTCATATTAAATATAATTTAGTTAATACAAGTCTGCATGTATAGTACATACTCCTTATAAAGGTACATTCTATCTCTTAGAAAGTATGGGTTGAATTAGAGTTATTTTGGACATTTGAAGCAAATGTCTTGTTTTTTTACAATGTGTTGTTGAATGTAAAATTACAATTTAGTTTTTATACGATACCATACAGTTGTATATATGTTATTTCAAAACTGTATAATGTAACTTACTTAGATATAAATTACATATATTTTGGTAGAAGTTTTCAGTAATAGATTCTAAAATATTTTTGATTTACATAAAATATGCGTATATTACTATAAGATTATTTGTACTATTATGATTTCAATAAATCTTGAATCTATCGGTACTTCTTAAAGATGTATTTAAAAAAAAATAAAATTATGAAAGAGTTGTTAAAGATAATAAAAATATAACATTGTACGATATATCATTGTTTAAAATTACTTCGCATTTTAATGCGTACCATAGATGTGTAAAATAAAATTTGTTTTAAGCTCCGCTTGGACAGCAATATTTATTTGAAAACTATTATGGAACAGTCCCAGGAAATATTGGACACGATAGACAATAGCAATGATACAAACGTGATGGAGTTATTGAAAGAAGCAATTTCTGATGAAAACATTATAGTTGAATCAGAAGCTGCGGAAGATACTGTAGAAACAGAAATAGAGGAAATTATAGAAATAATAGAAGAAGTGGAAGAGGAAAGCGAAGACTGTTCGGAAATTAACGATCCAATTGCAGAAGCGAATAATAAAGGAGATGGGAAAAGTACAAAGAGATTACAGAATGATCAGTTTAATAAAAATTCTGAAATGGAAGTTTATGTTTTGGAAGAAAACAGTTCGAGTATGAAACAACATTCTGAGAATGAAAATGAAGATAAACATCAGTCCCATATGAATAGTAACAAGCAAGTTATAACATACGATGTAGACGAAGATTGGCAGGATGAAGATATGGATGAAGAGGAGGAATTTGAGCAAGATTCGGACACAATGGATCATTGCATAGAATCTTTACAAGGACAACGAGTGCTACATGGAGATAGAACGTCTATAAATAATCAAGTGATTAGTTTTCCTTTACAAACAAATAGATCAGAATCTAGAGATAATGCAGAGTTTCTAGAGAGAACAGAGAAATCTAAACCAAGTCAAGATCTAAAAAATAATGTAAATAACGAAGAAAATGTTGATAGCAGCGTAAATCATGAGATTGTGAAGAATGTTGAAAACAATTTGTTGTATACTGTCCTTGGTACAAAAAAACAAAGTCCCGTAAAGACATTACACATTGATAAACTTTCGGATGGCCATTTTATTAAGGTTTATACAGTTTTTGTACGATTAAGAATAAAAATTATAATTGTCAATACTATTCCTGAAAATAAAGTTCTTGTTCCTTAGATGGAGCAACTTGACGAAAATACCATACCAGTTGAAGGAACAATATATTATGAAGGAGACAACATAGAAGCCTTATATGTTGCACAATCTGTAGAAAATGAGCAGTATCCATACGATGCTGTACCAATGGAACAAGAAGAGCAATTATGGGACACTGCAGCCTCTGACACCAATCAAAATCAAGAAAAAGAGAATTCTCAGGTATTATTTTTTAAAAGAAAAATTCAAATTCTTAGTAAATGCGATACAACTTTAACTAAATTTAATTTCAGGACCAAATATTTTTACACGAAGACGAAGAGGGTCAGTTATACTTCAAGGACGACACTGGGACCTTACAGCCAGTATATTTAACCGAAGATGGACATTATGCCATTGCAGAAAATGGTAATGATTCTGCTAGCAAAGAACCACAAGTTAAATCTCATCAAAATGTCAGACAAATTGAAGAGGAATCTTATCTTCTTCCGGATAATGAAATTAAATCCACTTATAATAACAAACAGGTATTTTCAATAATTTCTGAGAAATCTGCAAAACGGAGTTTCCGAATTTTCATTTTTGCTATTCTTTAGAATTCTACAGTGGCTGCTACCGAACTTGAAAACGAAGATAATACAGTGACCATATCCTTGATAATATCCGAGGATGAACATGGTCAAAAAAGAACGCAAGTCATTATACCAACAACAGATAATCTAAAATGCGATATTTGTAATAAAAGTTTTAAAACGTCTTTTCAATTACTTCGACACAACAGGCTGAAACATGCCCGGGAAGAAGATATTACAACAAGAAACTTCCCGTGCGATTTGTGCCCTAAAAGGTGATTTCTTGTGAACACTAGATTTGTCACTGCTTTATGGCTATGAAGATAATTAACTTCTTTTCATATTTAAGGTATCCAGACCAAAATACATTAGCCCGTCATAGAAAGACGCACACCGGTGATCGACCATTTCAATGCCTCGAGTGTCATAAAAATTTTCCAACGTCTACCGCTTTGCGTCGTCACTTGACGCTTCATAATTCACAATCTCGACCTCTTCCGTGCATTTACTGTGGTCGTCGCTTCGTAGAGAAAGCTAGTCTGGCCAAACACGAGCAGTCACATTTGGCTGATGAACAGCGGGCCCACACGTGCGATGTATGTCATAAGTCATTCTTACATGCGACTGATCTGAGTCTACATAAAAAGTATCACGATCCCGATAAGAAATTTGACTGTGAGGTTTGTGGTCGAGAGTTCAACCGATTGAACAATTTGCAGAGACATATGATGGTACATCAACAAGTACGTATGATAAATACGATCTTAGCGTTTAAATTTTCCGAGTCTCGTACGAAAAGAAGATTCAATATAATTTGACATTTCTCATATTTTCTGCAACTTGTACGCATTCACGTAAAGCTAACATATTTATAGAAAAAGATTTTCCATTTCGAAAATTTTTTTTTAACGTAATTATTTTCTGTCACAACGTATTCCTTTTATTTATTAACTTTAGCAAGGGGCGAACGAGGAGATACTCTCATGTGACGTATGCGGCATCACGTATAAATTCATGAGCTCATTGACGAGGCATATGGTGACCACGCACATGAATCCGGAGAAACTTAGACAGCAAGCGGCCGAGCAACGAAGGAAACGGGAAAACAATTATCGGCGTTATCTAGAAAATCGTAAAACGTACGAGACACAACACTCGGGAGGATACAGTACAAAACGCAATTACCAACATACGCGATCGCTCAGGGGAAGTAACGAAGAAGCGGCCTGATTTCCATTTTCAAAGTCGTACGACTATTGAGAAAAGTACCATTATTAAACCATGATTTTCAAAGGAAATGAAGGGGGGCGAGAGCAACGGAAACAGAAAGAAAGAAATATAAGTCTGCGCGTGATATAGTGATATTCGTATATCATTTTACTGCTATAGCGACAATAGATGTGCATTTAATTTAATAAATATATAAACAGTGTATTATATTAAATGTTCATGTACCTACATATCTATATCTTTATAAGAATTCATAAAAGATTACTTATATATATATATGTGTGTTTAAAATAAGATATGTATATATAAATATATTTCATTTTCATTGTATACTAGAAATGTACATCATACATATGACTGTTACACGTTATGTTTTAATATATACATATTTTATTCTAATTTACATGCGATTATAGCCATGTAACAATAAAGGTAAGTATCAAATATTTCAAAACTACTAAAATCTAGGCGCCTAAATTTTTCGACGAAATAAAAAATTTCAAATCGTTCTGGAAAAATTATATTCGCTTGCGGGGGTCGATTATAATCAATTTTGGTGAATAGACATACCCCCGAAATCCTATCCACTTTCTAGAAAAAAATTCGAGAAGGTGTGAAATTTCTCGACGGGAAAAAAAAAATTTCAAATCGTCTTGGAAAAAAATTATTTTGTTCCTTTCTTAACAACACGATTCCGTGAATGTTGCAGCAATAGGTCTACTAACTGTAGCCAGTATATTTCATTATTACCACATAATTCTACGTCACACGATAAACTTAAACAAGATACATGTGATAATTACGTTATGTACATGTGTATGTATAATCTATTACATCGCGGGAAGTTCTTTGTGGCAATAGTATCAGTCAAGTGATCTGCTTTGTAACGAAATGATAGCATCTACAAATTCTTTTGAAGCACAGGCTTGTTCAACAACAGTTTTAATAATCCATTAGTGGCTATTAGTAATTGTAATAGAAAGGCACTCGAGTCGAAAAAAAGGTGATAAATATGTTCAACACTGAAGTCGTTTAAAGAAGAATATTTCTGAATATATTCAAAGGTTAATTGATTTCATTCAATTGCACCAGTCACATTGCGCGCGTATAATACTGTTAATTTTGAAAGGTACAAGTTTCAAAATAATATTAAAAATTCGTTAATATCTAATTCAGGGTAATTTAGAGTCATATTTGCATTTCATATATCGTATTATGATAGTTGTTAAGATGAACAAACATATACGAGTACATTACATAACAGAATTTTTATTTCTATGTAAAAGAAATAAACTATTAATCTTTCAGTTCAAACAAAGTCCACAATTTTATCAGTCGCTGTTATCATGGAGAAGCATGATGCATTGTTACAAGTGCATTTAGAGAGACCTATTTACGAACAAGAAGCCTTAAATGAAGATTATCGTTACGAACTGCCAAATATATCTGGTACTTTGGAAAAAAAAAAAAAGAGTATTTTCTTAATACGTATGCGATTATTATTTCGAAACTAATAATTCTTTTGTTACAGTTTTTAAAAACACTGTACACACTTTAAAATCGAAAAATTGGAAGTCATGTATGACATCTGCAATCCCTTCGATAAACTGGCTGAAAGACTACAATTGGAAAGAAAGCATAATGTCCGATGTAATTTCTGGTTTAACCGTAGCAGTTATGCACATCCCCCAGGGCATGGCTTATGCACTTTTAGGAAACGTACCGCCAGTAGTTGGCATATACATGGCATTCTTTCCTGTTTTAATATATTTCTTTTTTGGCACATCTAAACATGTGTCGATGGGTAAGAACGAATACTTGTTAAATATTTGGTAATGAAAGAAAAGATGGGAAAGATTTTCAAAAGTTTTATGAAAATCAATTGCCAGTATTTACATTTTTAGTGTTTCGCGCTTTGCATTTGTACATTTAGTAAAATACTACTTCTATTACAGAAGAGTTACACATAGCTCCTTTTAATAAGAACTTATTAGACAAGTTAGAACAATGAAACATTATTGGCACTCATCAGGAACTTTTGCCGTGGTTTGCTTGATGACCGGGAAAACAGTGATGACTTACTCGATACCGCACCGTGAGTTTACAAATCCGAATACTACAGATCTAGTGTTCAATCACACTGGGGAACATTTGTATTCGTATACACCGATGCAGGTAGCAACAGCCGTCACATTGATGGTTGGGATATATCAGGTAATAAATTCAGAAATTCTTTTCGTGTTTATATGAAATTAATAATTTGCTTCGTATTTTCCACAGATCATAATGTACGTATTTCAGTTGGGTATCATAAGCACGTTGCTTAGCGAACCTTTAGTGAACAGTTTTACAACCGGTGCAGCAGTATATGTTTTAATATCCCAAATTAAAGATCTCCTAGGTCTGAAATTACCAAAGCAAAAAGGATATTTTAAACTTATTTTTGTACGTGCACAGTATTAAATAGAATTTGTTCAAATGAATTGTTTTAACGATAGTAAATTAATTGAACAGTTTATTTCAGACATTGATAGATGTTGTCAACGAGATACAGAATACAAACTTGGCTGCTGTGCTAGTGTCATCGATAACAATTATTAGTCTCGTTTGTAACAACGAATTTTTAAAGGTGATTATTACAATGGTTTTGTCGTAGAAATATACGGATAATTATTTTGTTTTTAATATTAGCCATGGGCAAGTAAAAGATGCAGCATTCCGATACCAATCGAGCTAATTGCAGTTGTGAGCGGTACTTTACTTTCAAAATATTTTTGCTTATCCGATAGGTACGACATTCAAGATGTAGGCGATATCCCTACGGGGTATGTAAACATTTCTTTTATCTGTTTTTCGTGAACGTGACTCGATATTATTATTTTGCGAAATTATAAACTGACAGACTTCCAACACCGGTGGTGCCAAAATTTGATTTATTACACCTTGTAGCAATAGATAGTATTGCTATAACTATGGTTTCTTATACTATAACTATATCAATGGCTTTAATATTTGCGCAAAAACTTAATTACAAAATTAATTCAAATCAAGAACTTCTTGCAATGGTAAGTAAATAATTTCTTAGATAATATGATTTCAAAAATGCGTACAAAACCATTGCGTATATTTTAAAAATATTATTTTAGGGTTTGAGTAATATATTCGGATCGTTCTTCTCGTGTATGCCAGTGTCAGCATCGTTAAGTAGATCTTTAATCCAGCAAACTGTTGGCGGTCGAACACAAATAGCTAGTATTGTATCTTGTTTAATATTGCTTACTATTCTTTTATGGATTGGTCCGTTTTTTGAACCCTTACCAAGATGTGTTCTTGCATCAATTATCGTTGTGAGTACATACACGGTCTTAAGTATCATTTTGAGGATCGTTTGAGCTACATGCTGATTTCGCTTCTTTTTATTTTTCTTAGGTAGCTTTGAAAGGAATGTTTCAGCAAGCTAAACAACTTATAAAATTCTGGAAATTAAATAAATACGATGCGTTGATTTGGATCGTAACGTTTTTAATAGTTGTCATAGTAAATATTGATATTGGTTTACTGCTTGGAATAATGATGTCGCTGGCAATTATTTTATTGCAAAGTATCAGACCTTACACTTGTTTACTGGGCCATATACCAAATACAGATTTATATTTAGATTTAAGTAGATACAAGGCAGTAAGTTATTTCTTTTTTATAACTAAATTATCATTTTTTAAATAAACTAATATATTTATCATTAAAATATACAATTTTGATGTAACTTTTAGGCAGCAGAGATTCCAGGATTGAAAATTTTTCATTATTGCGGAACTCTCAATTTTGCAAATACTAATCATTTTAAAGCAGAGTTACATAAATTGGTAGGGGTGAATCCAAAAAAAATTATAGAACGGAAACTAAAATTAAGAGAAAAAGGTATTTACATGGATACAGGGGATTCGGAAAACAAACAAGAGTTACAATGCGTCATAATGGATATGAGCGCATTAAGTTATATTGACTCTAGCGGTGTAATCGCGTTACATTCGACGATAACAGAATTTAATCAAATTGATGTTCCCTTTTACCTGGTAAATTGCACAAGTCCGATCTTTGAAATGATAAAAAAATGTGACTTGTATTTACACGGAAAACTCACATTCAAGATTTTTGCAACAATACAAGATGCTAAAATGTACTTAGAAAAAGAACTTTATTCGAGGTAATATGTACACGTTATTGTACATTTGTTAAGAACAATGCATTGTTAAGAATATATGAACAAATTTTTACTTCTGTCCTATTGTTTATGTGATATTGGAATTAATTGTTCTATATTTTTGAATGTATAATACTAAAACAAATTATAATTATAAGTCTTGATATTTGCAAATAATTATTTATGTGGCAAAGTAACAAACTAGTCGAACATAACTCTAAATTTATCACATTTCTATATAAATTTTTTAAAATAATTCTATGAGATTAAAAAAACAGGAATAAATTTAAAGGTCTTTTTTTTCTCTCTTGTTTTCTCAGCTTCTATTACTTTAATGTCAAGTAATATTCTTAACGACAGTTAAATAGTTTAAATAAATGCTTATACATGACAAAGACAAATATCATGACTTTACTGTAGAATTAGTTTATTAACAAATGATTAATATATGTATTTCAGTATTTTAACTCTACTAGTTTTATGAGGTGCTTCATAAATTTTATAAAATCGGAAGAACAAGACAATAAGATTCGTAGTATTTACTATTTTATACTTTCAGTACACCTTATAAAATAATAATGTAAAACGACGTATGACATAATTTATTTAAGCTTACCAGTTTAGTACTTATGTAACGTTAAAATTACAGTTCTGATAAGAATGAACACTAAAAAGACACATTTAGTGATATAAAAACCACAGACCTGATTCATGTTACTTAAAATTAAGCGAAAGTTAATTCAATCGAATTAACGAATAGAACTTAATGATTTGTGATACTGCAAATATATGTATACTATATTTTCTTTTATGTATGCATTCATACTTGTAAAAATTATATGGAAATTATTAAATGCATGGATTGTATTCCAATATTTTAATAAAATTTAACGAAAATTAATTCGTCTGTAGTATATTTTGTTGGTTCAGGTATGTAAGAAAAAAGCACCAATATTGTAGATTTAATCGAGCAATCACGGATGATTTATTTACAGTGATCACTCTATGTACAAAGTAACAGTTTCCGGTTACAATAGGTAACTCACTGTCACTATTAAATGTTTATAAATGTGCTACTTTATAATCATACAACTAGTAATGATGTACAATGATTCACATTTGCAGCACATTAATACTTCTATATAGTTTTAAGGCAGTGGCACCTGCACTGATGTCTGTGTTTCAGAATAAATACTCAAAATGTATGGCAGAAACATTGTTCGACAATGTACCATAAGGAAGTAATGTAATTCATCTATGCTCATTTCGTTCTAACTGCAATTGCTTCACAATTCAATCAAACATATTATTGGTGTATGATAATTAAGCCACTCCATACTTCTTCTTAAGTGATTCCGGCATCTCTGGTGGTGGTGGGCGTGGCATACGAAGCCATACTTTAACGGCATCATAAATGAACCATTGTGCTCCTGTTAATGTACCAATCATAACAATACGAGGACCAAGACCCTTCCATACACCAGCAAAGCCAAGTTTTCTTAAAACGTCACCGGCTGAGGCTCCCCTCTCTTGATTCAGTTTCGATACAACCTGCATTGACGAAATGCATAACAATGTTGTATTAATAAGACGAACGGGAACGGATACGGAAATATAAATACATAAGAATATACACTTACAGAATCAGCCGGATGAGATACAATTGCACAAAATACACCGGCAATATATCCAGCCGCAAAGGTAACAACCAACTGTTCGCCTTTCGTGCATTCTAGTCGTGGCTTAGGAACTACATATTTATACAAGAGCTCAAGCGTTCGCTCGAAACAAGCAAACTTCATCATTGTGTATGGAATTTGACGAAGCCACAAAGGTACTAGCCCTTTGTAAAATCCACCAAGACCTTCTTCGCCGTACATTTTTGGGAACGCCTCCCTCAAAGTGTTTGCATACCCTGGCATGGTTTGAATCCTGACCTGTACAAATAAAAATTATACTCCGTGTATTCTAATTTACGCAATCTATCATACATTAAACGATACGTACATAAATAGTCTTGCAAAGAAACTTACAATACATATGGAATTGGACATGTTGAAGTGAACATGAGGATCGGTAGGAACAATGCAGAGGAACAAAAGAACAATTCTGTCTTGTTTTGGGTGTAGAGGTAGTCACAGGGATAGGCAGATAATGAAAATATTAATATCTGCTAATTTTTTTAAAAATTATAACGGACAGTATCGATCTAACTGTTCTCTCTTATAAACAAAAATCATTAAAAACGTTATTTGTTATAATATATATGACAAAAGAATTAATAATTACTTTAGCAGCTTCGAACGGAGCTAGACCAATATCGGCAAAGAATTCTGCAGATGCAGAAGAAACAAGATATAAACTTATTCTATATTCATATGCCATTTCTTCTCCAGCAAGCGCCGAATAATATACTTTGAAGACTTCGTAAAGACCAAATTTGAACATTCCTTGTGAGGAATAACCAAAGAATGTTGGGGCCCAACCTTTTGCCAAACCTCGTGTTCCATCCTCAGCCAATGTCACCTAAATAAAAAAAAAAAACAGATTTAGTTACGGTGCTTGCTTTGCACGTATAAAGTATTACAAAAAATAATTTAATACTTACTCGGAAACCATTGAAGACCGATTTGTACTTTGCGGAATCTACTTGAATTCGACATTTTACTAAATCCAAGGGTGTGATCATGGTGTGAGTAATACCACATGACAAGATACCACCCAAACCACATAGCATAAAATATTTATTCGATCCAAATTCGCAGCTGTCTGTATAACAAAGAAAAATTTCGTTTCCATTGGTTTAACCACGACTTAACCTAACTATATAATTTACTAAACATATTGATCTAACTATTAAGACATTTAAATACATTCATATATGCATTTGATCGACATATAATTACTGTGTTCGAAAATATCATAAAATACAATATTAAAGTAGCACGAATTTCTTAAAAGATTCGATTCTTCGCAGAAATATTCTTCATATTTGCCAAATCCCCTGTAAAATATGTTTAAAATCATGCATTTCGAAAGAAAAAGAAAAATGTTACCGCGAATGAGTTCATTGATCAGCTATTTGTCCGAAACAACGCGCAGAACTTGAATTCTGGCAAAACTTCAAAGTCGCCACGAATGACCTTACTACCTTGCTCTAATCTAATTATAAATCTTTCAAGAACACGAAGGTATATTTAATTAGTTTCTCGGTCGCGGCCACTGTACCAAGGTTCTATTATTTTTAATCGAATCCCAACCAAGGTTACGAGAATGATATTCCACGCGCATTTTCGACAAAATGGCTGCCCTTATGCAACCCTTGATACGCAAAGATCGACAGCGGACGGCCAAATTTTCGGCAAAATGACTTAAAAACACCTTCCTGCAACAATTTCTTTCCTTATTCATGAAAAACTGTATTAGTTTTTGGATTTAGCTTGCGTTAATTCTTTTTAACACAATACATATTGTGCAAAATAAAGTAAATATTAATACTCGAAGCATATACTCATAACGATATTATTGGTCATGCGACGAAATCTATATTCGTTACATAATTTTATTGCTATAAAATTATAACGAATTACGGTAAATCTTCTAAATTTAAATAATTCGAATGCAAATGGTTTTCGAATTCATTATTCAACTTTCGATTTAAACTCGATGTGTTGCAAAGAACAATAGATACTTATCAATGATATTGCAGATTATGTAATAACGATCATGTGATTAATAGTTAGTCTTAGCTGGAATAGAATCAATATTTGAAACATGAAATTTATGCGTGATAAGCAAATGTCAACGAGGTACTGTTCTAGTGACGGGCAGTCAAGGTAGAACAAGTTAATTTACAGACACGTTTATTGTCAGTCGAATTAATGTTCAATATAGATTTTATTTGCAAATTACTAACCGCCTGAACTGGTGGAGGCTGCCGCAATATGACGATTTTTAACGAGCGCCTGTGCGAGCTCATTGTGCCCCTGACATTTGGCTGTCACAAAAGGTGTTGAAAACGGATTCATTTTGATTGCGTCGAGTATTGAGGGCCACATCTTGACTCTACCACTTTCACCTGTACCACAACACCAATCAATAACGATTCGTATGTAATAATTTATATTAATTCAAACTACTAGCTACAGAACCTTCAAGGCACCAACTCTCGCCTCCGCGTTGTGGAAAAAGAGTGGCAGTGAGTTCGATAACGGAATCCGTTTAATGATACAGACCATTGACTATTATTTTGTAGATAACGTACTGAACTAACTGTAGCGGTACCTCTTAATTCGACAATAGAGGGCTACTGTAGCCATTCATAAATACCTTTAATAGTAATAAATTACTTCAAACAGCAGGTTCTTCTGCGTGTAAATATTCCCACACGTGTTAGCGATCTTTACTGCTGAGTTTAATTAAAGAATCTCGGATGAAAATACAAATACTTATGTATTTCCATTCCCAGTTTCAAATTTAATTTATAACTATACAAGTGTGGAAATACCTCCCAGATTTACCAGTAGAGGGCTAAAGACAGTTACTAGATCTTGTAAATTCTATATTAAATTTTGATTTTTTTAAACTGGAATACTTTCATTTTCAATCGCATAAGTCTTAATAATTATCGATACACTTTAAATAGGATCTGCCACGCGAAAAATAAAAGTTCTTTCTTCCTTTTCTCGAATTTAATTTTAGTCGTTACGTAAGACTGACGTCACTAAATATGTATCTAGTGAATTTACATAAGAATAGTCAATAACGCTCTTTACTTTGCAACAGTGATGCCAGATTGAGATCACACATGCCAGATCACGCGTACGTGAGCCCGTAGAGTTTCGGAAAGTCGACAAAGGCAAACTGACGCATGCCCTCTTTCTCGATTCTCCGAACCTGCCCGAAGTAATTTCGGGCCGCCTCGTGGGAGTCGAAAGAGGAAGGCTCACATTTGCCTTCTCGCTCTTGAACAACTAACATCCAACCTCGCATCAACGGCATACGATTTGGAATCACGACTGATCAGACATTTTTACTTTCCGACCTATGTAGGCGCACATAAGCAAAGTACCACGATGAAAACAAAATTTTGTGAAATTTTCCTTACGGAAATAAACGTTTTAAGACCCCCTGATCATAGTTTAACTATTGAAAAAAGAGAAATTTTTTTTTTATTATTCCTATGTATGAGCGTACATATGCATACTATTTCAGATATCACTTCCGATATATCTGGCAACGTATAACCATTACTACTGGCTACTGTCAGCCCCTCGCAGCCTCTGCTGACTTCTGCTGGCCTCTGCTAACCTCTGTCGGCATGTGCGGACTTCTGCTTGCCTCTGCTGGCCCCTGCTGACCATTGCTGACCACACCTGATACTTCCGACAACGTATAACGATTACTACTGGTTACTGCCAGCCTCTCCCAGCCTCTGTTGGCCTCTCCTGACCTCCGCTTATATTTCTGACGACGTATAACGATTACAACTTGCCACTGCTTGCCCCTGCTGATCTCTGTTTGCCACTCCTTGCCACTGCTGGCATCCGCTGGCCTCCGCTGGCCTCTGCTGACCACTGCTGACCACCACCGATGTTTCCGACATCGTGTGACGATTACTACATGTTACTGCTTGCCCCTGCTGGTCTCTGCTTGCCTCTGCATGCCTCTGCTGTCCCCTGCTGACCCCTGCTGGCCTCTGCTAACCTCTGTCAGCATGTGCGGGCTTCTGCCTGCTTCTGCTGATCACTGCTGACCACTCCTGATACTTCCGACAACGTATAACGATTTCACCGGGCTACTGCCAACGTCTCCCGGCCTCTACTGGCTTCTGCTGGCCTCTGCTGACCACCGCTTATATTTCTGACAACGTATAACGATTACTACTGAATTCTGTCTGCCTCCGCCGGCCTCTGCTGACCGCTGCTGACATGTGATGATTACTACATGTTACTGCTTGCCCCTGCTGGTCTCTGCTTGCCTCTGCAAGCCTCTGCTGTCCCCTGCTGACCCCTCCTGACCCCTGCTGACCACTGCTGACCACTGCTGACCACTGCTGACCCTTGTTAACAACTTCTGCCATGATATATATGTATTAAAACATTGTATAATGTAAATCTATGGCAATAAATGATATAATTACAAAGAATTCTATGTGTTCTCATCATTTCTTACCTTTCTTTTCCTCTCCAAATCATTAGCTTAGTTATAAGACTCCCTGAAACTCCTAGGTTTCCCTGAACCCACTAGAAAGTCCTGAAACACCTCGGAAGTCCTGAAACTGAGAACTTTGCTAAAAATTCAGGGTTACCAAGAATTTTCGGCGTTTCCAAGAAATTCCAGGACTCCCCAGTTGTTTCAGGACTTTCCAGCTGTTTCAGGACTTTCCAACTGTTTCCAAAATTCCAAGGGGGTTCAGGACTTCCTAGTTGTTTCAGGACTTTCCAATTGTTTCAGGACTCTCCAGCTGTTTCAGGACTTTTAATTTTTGATTTTGGCAGCAAGTACGAGAGTGGACCACTTTGGGAATCCAATTTACCGGAAAAACGGTCTCTTAAAACTAATGCACATGATTTGGAGAGGGAAAAGAAGGTAAAATGATGAGAACACATCAGAATCTGTACATATAGTTCATTATTGCCATAGATTACATCGTATACAAGGTGTGATTTACTTATAAATCATGTCGAAGTGATAACAAAACAGGTCAGCAAGTGCAGCAGTGGGTAGGCAGGGGCAACAGAAGCAGTAGAGGGAGCAGAGACCCAGCAGTAAGCAAGTAGTAATTAGTATACGTGTCAGAAATACCAGGAACGGTCAAGACAGCGGTCAGCAGAGGCCAGCGACGGTTGGCAGAAGTCAGTAGTAATCGTTATACGTTGTCAAAAATATAAGCGGTGGTCAGCAGAGCCTAGCAGAGGCTGGGAGAGGCTAGCAGTAGCCAGTCGTAATCGTTATACGTTGTCAGAAGTAACAGGAGTGGTTAGAAAAATCGACAGGGTTGAATGCCTAAAAAAAAAATTTCAAATCGTTCTCAAAAAATTATTGTCGGTTGCGGGGGACAATTACAATCATTTTTGGTGAATAGACATACCTCCGAAATCCTTCGCATGTTCGAGAAAAAAATTCTTTACCGAAAATATAATGTGTGGCGAGAAATGTTTCCTCGAAATTTCAAGCATATCTTTAAAACACCATAACTGAATGGATTGGGGGATTTTTATCTTTTTCGTTACATATGGAATAAATAGTGGTCTTTATAATCATTAATGCCCTTTATAAAATTCACAAAAATATCAGGAAGGGATTATTTACAATATATATTGATAAAATAGGTATAGCTGCAAGCAATACAAGATCAATATTCAGAGCACGCTTAAAATAATTAATATACATACAATTACATTAATTACATAGCAAAACAATTCGAACACTTATAAATACAGTGCTTCATGGCTATGACACTTGAAGTATGTCAGTCTTTTCAGGATAGTAGAAAACCACATTTGTACGAGAAAACCTGAACACGAGCAATTGTACATTATTATATACAATTTAAATTTTAAACATACTTGAGGTACAGTGTAAAATATACAGCGCTGGAGGAACATATATCTTTTATATAATGTTACTTCAACAGTTAAATGCAGAAATAACAAATTACAATCGATACTGTGTACATGTCAGATCTATAAAAAATTTCGCGTGCATTGGCGAGTTAATCGTTATAAATATAATTATAAAAATATTGTACGAAATTTTAGCATAACGTTTGTAGAAATTAGAAATACGTATATAGAAGTGACTGTGATCATCCTCTATTAAGAACTATTACGTGTTAATCACAAATTATTTGTAAAAATACAATGAGATATTCCATCCGTTTTAAATATAAAAAAATAGATCACATCAGCTAGAACAGCAAGGAAGTGGAAAACGCGCAATGCCGTGCTTCTTCGTATTCGCATTTATAGATCGATAGGAAACATTTCCCGTAGGAAAAATTAGATCTCGCTCGAGGCCTTTTGTTCGAAGTACATGAAATCCTGAAACACACATTTTAGAAAAACGACAATAATAGTTTCTTTTTAGACATCGATGATCGGTGATCTTACAATCAGAAGACAGGCGCCGAGCAACACTGCCTTTATCTTAACGTCCAAGTCCACTGGAAAGCTTATGCCAAATTTGTCAGCATCCGTGAACATTTCTCTACCGATTCCGCCCCATTCCTTCTTGATTACTCCAACTCTGTGTTGACCGTCTGCAGACTTTACCTATAGAAAAACGAATCATTGATTAAACAATATATTTGACCAGCGCTGTTATAATTTACGAAGTTACACCTTGAACGTTACGTCTACGCAAAATCGAAACCACGGTCCTTTTATAATTAAAACAGTTTCTCCGGACGCGTTGCGAATCGAGAATGAAGGCCGCCAAAGGCTCCAGTCTTGCGACACCGAGCCAAGCAACGTATCGCCGGAATATACTTCTAGCTCCTGGAAATACACAAAATTCAAAAATATGTTCAAACACAGTCATTTGGGACCGTCATACAGCTAGCAAGATACGTTTCGGTATAATTACTGTATCATTAACGTTCGTCCGTACGTGGAAACAATGTGCACGGACTTGTGGACCTTATCGAGGTCGGTATTTTAGGTATACCTCATGTTTGCATTCAGGGTGCTTCGTTAGAAACAGCACACATCGTTATCTTCGCTATTTTAAATAATACGAAGCGTCGATAACAAAAGATACATAGCTTTGATGGGATACAACATATAGGAATTGTGATTTTAAACATAATAAAAGAATTTAGCTGCGCTTTATTTTAGGGGGCAAGAAATATATTTTTTAACTGTATCAAAAGCTATACGTATTTAAAGATGTGCGCTATACGCGTGAAACTTAGTCGGTAAGAAAGTTTGTACCATTAAATTGCATCGATTAAGCTTAATATTAAATCTACATTATTCGTCGCCATAAAAATTCACGCGGGCAATTTTAGTTAAGACTGGATCAATAGTATCGATGGCAGAAAGATGGCGCCAAAATTTTTGGTTCGTTTATTGTATAGAATAATTGAAGAAAAGGCGAATGACAAAGAAATTCTTCTAGTGATCGTACGTTTACGGTCAGTACAATCATATTTCATATCGGCAACAGTACTGCGTGGGCACTCGATCGGTTCATGAAGGACACGTCCGTTCGCGTTACCATGATTGCCTCTTTATTTATGACAGCCAATAGATACCGCTCGCAAAACGCTCGCCTGAGTTTCTCAAACATGCGGTGCACACAAAACGAGCGAACTTTCCGCACACGTGCACACCATCTGCGCGACGATTACCTTTGACGAAAAGTTATTCAGCCCCCCATCGGGAAGGCAGGTCACGATCGATATTCTTTGAACAGCACCGCCTCGGTCATCGACGTTTTCGAACACGTTGTTCCCAGCCACGTTGAAAATTCCGATTATTTGATCTCATTTGAGGTTAGTTGCGAACAGAATTCTTGGCTAAATATCGCATGGTAACGTTTCGTTTCTAGCGCGTTGTTTTCGAATACGTATAGGGGAATTTGCAATAACTTTCAAAGATCGCAACCATTGTAACTAACATGAGAACAAAATAATATATAAAAAAAAACATCGTAATTTTCGTGTAGAGTGTAGCTAAATACTAGGTTTGGCAAAAGGTTTTGGCCGTATTTCCATGAAATACTTTTCCGTATACTTGAAATAATTTCCCCGGTAAATCTAATGTTATTTGACAACCGAGCGAACAAATATGGCGGCAATGAGTAGCAACCCCATTGTCCGTGGAATGGCACTTGTTACGAATAGAGAACCTTTGTGTAAAAGGGCAAAAACAAAATGTAGACTTGAAATTATACTATTTCGTTGTACCCTCGGCTATTAAAAGCCATAAAGATTTACGTGCAAGACTACCGTCATTAAAATCTTAACCTGAACCGATATAATTTATTGGCCCAATGGCCTGGTCTGATATTTCCGTTAGACTCGATTGTTTCCATCGCGGCCGCGCCAGCTGCGTCTCGTCCTTTCTTTAACACGAAAAAGGGAAAATACCTGCAAACAGCAAGGGCAGCAACAACTTTCGCACCTGCAGGGACGGACCATACGCAGTATTTCTCTTCGGCCGCTGTCGATCACTTGGAACTCGCAGCTACGGTAAGAGCCCAGGCATAAACGTGCACATATTCCTGATTGTTCAGCGACGTAAAACACTGGCTCTCCCCGTATATTCACCACGCTGTATTTGTTTTTGGTTTCAAATCCGACAAAGGCTACAACATCGTTCAACGAATCAGTCGATACTTATTAAAGCACAACGATAACACTATAGAATAATACTTTTTTAAATTAGTTGCACGTTACTTTTGTAACAAGAAAATAAAATATCATCGATTGGAGCATCGAGCACAATCACTAAGCGGAGTTAATCGCCATGGGTTGTAAACGGGTCAATTATTTCCTATCTATTGTTTCATTACATAGTCCAAGCTTCGTTTAAATCGGTTGTTCGAAATTTCTGTATTATCATTGAATATGTACAAGTTCATATCAAGGGCGTAGTAAAAATTTCTTTATATCGAACGAATAAGAAGTAGGAAATAAATGGAGAGCTAACCTTCGATCAGTTCTACCTTTTGGTTCACAAACAAATGATCAAGGACCATAAGGTATTCCAAGCCGGGTGGACAAGTCGTATTCGGCGGTAACCAACCACCTGAAACGAAGAGAAACATCGTAACGTTAGTGCAAATGGTAACATATTTTTATTATTTTTGTTTAACCATTACGGTAAAAGAGATTATTAGATGACTCTCTAGACGTGGAAAACGACTAACGATTTTAACAAATGTAATCGTTACACGTTCGTAACTTGGCTCATTAAAAAGCCCGCCAAATTGTTTTTTAAACTCGATGAGAAATCGAGCGTATAATTAGAGCGTCACCTCTTCTCCTCGTCCGTGAGGAATCTGGCGTAGCCCTTCCGCTTTGATCGATATCTCTTTAGGGTCTCACTGAACAATGCGCGAACCCGCCTTCGAATTTGTTGCACCTTTGACTTCCAAGAAGTTTCGAAGTATTCAGACTCCATCGCACATGCGCGCGGAATAAACTCACTCGTGAACTCTCATTGCTAACAACACGTCAGGAACGGTAACATCTCTCGAGATAAAAACTTCTCTTCGAAGAACTTGTTAGAAAATTTGCGTAACGATCACGCCAAGTTATTTCGTTTTATTAGTTTTATGCAAGTCGCGGTACAGTCGACAGGTTTCAATTTTTTTCATTACAACTTCGATGTTTCTATGTGCGTGTATATATATATATATATATATATATATATATATGCAATGCCTTGTAAACTTATTTAACGCGTTAATGTCACTGAAATCGCTTCACGGTGTACTATTGGTAGCACTCGCGCTCGTAACGATCAGTTGTTTTCTCAAGTTCCTCCTACTCGGCAAAATGATAAGACGTGTGTATTTTTCCTGGGACACATTTACTTCTTTGGACTGCTCTGCTTTGCCGTGTTATCTTTGTAGATAGAGAAAACAATAAATACTATCCTTGGGTTGAAAACTTTCCAACTGTTCAATAGGGGGTATTAGAATTATCTGAGCCTTCGCCACGACGTTCTTTTTCTTATAGCAACGACCATAAATGTTTTCGTTATTTTTGATGACTCGGAAAATTTTCTCAGAAACGTGTTCTATGTTTCGCGAGAGAGAAACAACATTTTCTTTTTATTAAATTATGAATTGCGCGCGTTTTACGAACACTATCGTGAGGTTTACAGTAGCCCAAGTTTTACTGTTACTGCAATCTCTTGTTTATTATCAACGAGATAAAGAAGCAGACATTTTGTAACTAACTATTCTACTACTATTTCTATCTACAGTAACAACGTGGAAACGTGATGGCAATGCAGGCAGTATGAGCGCCTCGAGCGATTTATAACATTTTTTATTTTGTAAACAAAGTTAATAGAAACACTTTTTCCTTGCATTGATTCTGGGTTTGCTCGCTAAAGCAATCTTCCAAAACAGGGGACGTGACCCCTAACGATGAAGGTCACGAACAAGGATGTTAAATGTACAAAAATATGACAGAGTCGACATTAAACGAATTAAAGTAATTATAACAAAAATTGTTGACGTATCTCGGGCGCAGAAAATGTTTAGGAATCATTGGCTTAAAATATTGTCGCGCAATGAAGATTCGATCTGTGCATTCGTTTTATCATAACTGTGTCTATTAAACGGGTCAAGTTACTGTTGAAACGTTGCATTCGTAGAAACGGTGAACCGCAACGCGAAACGAGATTTTATGCAACGCGATTATAGCCCTTGGTCGGTAGCAAATTGTCGATCCGCCAACGCACGTCCGGCTGGACGAGCTGTTTCGCAAATTGGTCAGAATATTATTTAATCTTCGTACACCGTTAATTAATCATGAATCACCTTAACGTGCTGCTCAGCGCGAACAACCGCCATTTTCTTTTCGTTCCTGTTACAAAAATGCTCATCCATTCATTTAAACGAAATACAGGTAGCCCTCCTATAACGCGGTTTCGCTAAATTAAAATAATCAAGGTTGCGTTAAATTAAAATAATATTCTTTTGTATATTTTTCATAAAAATTAAATTGCTTATGTAGAATTAGAAAAAAATATTTGTTTTAAGTTTTCGAAACGTAACTCCCCTTTTTATACTGGCTCCGGGTCTCGTACAATACGGTTTCACACAACACGGCATCTTCTAGGAACCTATCTACCGTATTATATGAGGGTTACCTGTATGAGGATTTAGAAAAAAAATTGTTCGCGACAATTATGACTGGCTGTTCCAGAATACTTCGAGACCAACTGCGCCCTCTACATGACAATTTGATTTTTACGCCCGAAGAAGAAAAAAACAGTAGCGATAAAACGAAGCTTCATTGTGAACGGACATTTCATATCGGAGGGGTCCATTTATCGAGACGCATAGAGCGGTAATAATCGCCTGGCAACTCTGACCCTAACGACGAATCGTTTATATACAGCCGTAATAAAAGCAGATATCGGATGCAGTGCCTCGAACGGTATCGGTAGCACGAGCATTGGCTACCTGGAATGTCACTATTCACGCTATTGGAACGATGAAAATCTCGAATGAATTAATACCCTGCAATTAAATTGTCATTCGCGAGAGAGAAACCAATAGAAGAAAATCACAGAAAACAGTGCACGAACGAGTCCGTTTACACGGCAGGTTTTTCGGTCGACACGGACGAATCACGGACGAGCAACGATCTAGAACACCGACGCACGAAAGTCACGGCGAAATTCCCGAATTCACCGCACTAAATGATCCTCGAAAAAGTTATGTCGCGCGTCGATCTCGATCGGTTCCTGTTGCACGGTGCGACGCAAGTGTATTTACTGCCGATAAGAGGGCGAGACGAGCTACGGGGACACGAAACTGGATGACACTTATCCTGCATACATAGGTACATGACGCTTCCATCAACGAAGACGACTATTATCTACTTACTGATCGTCACTTGGCAAACAGTGACTGCATCGTGGTCCGTTTACGGACCGCTCGTCTCTTCTACTACGAACCCAGATAACGTCAGTAACTGATAAACTCCGACTCAAAGTAGCTACCTGAACGTTTAGGAATTTTTTCAATTATTTAGCGAGTCGTTAGGCTGAGAGTAGTGGATTTGGAAGAGCTTAAGGGAGGAGGGGCTAACAAAAAATTATAAATAGAATTATTAAAGTTTTCATAATTCTCAACAAGTCAATTACGCAAGTAATTGCGTAATTAAATTCTCGTCACGTTTGATTCTTAAAACAATTGATCCTTAATCGTCTAATATATGTCATGCGCAAACAAGTTTTCGGTTATCAAGAGTGAATTACTTAAAATGTAATCTCGACGGTATAGATACTGAGAGGCGATAAGTAATGAGCGATAAGCATAACGAAAGCAGCCTTTTTTTCTACCCACATATTCGATAAAAAATATTAAAGAACTTGCGAGATAAAATATTCACTCGTGTGACGACTCGCGTGGCGAATAGACGTACAGTGAAAGTATCACGTGCGTATTAAATTGTTTACGACACTCATGGGCATCAGCACAGATGCAGTTATCGAAACAAAATCCTCTGCGTGTTCGATCTAATCGCAATCGTAAATTGACTATTCGATTAGGAATGTCTCGATCTTTTCAGAGAAAATTAACGTAACAATTGCTATTAAATGAAACTAATAGACGTGGAAATATTTTTACCTTGCATCATCATCGGCATACCAGGCTGTGGCATCGGAAATGCACCGGGTACGGGTGCAGTTGCAATGGGCTGCATAGGCGAATAAGGCGGTGGTTGCATTGCAGGGTACGAAGTCATATTTCTTTCGCCTAAAACCAAAATAAATTTACCTTTTAAATATTGAATTTTTCTATTTAATTAATGCGAATCGTTAGCGTTAAACAAATTTCATTCTTTCGCTTTAAATGAATTAAACATTTCCACGATATGATTATTTACGTTATTTATTCTCGACGTTTGACTCAGCCAGGCTTTTGAAATATATGTATACTAAAGAACATCCGAAAGAACTATAACGCACTATGAAAATCGAATATTTACTCCCCTTTGTTTACTTTTCATTTTGGTATTTAGGTTATGTTTGAATAAATCCCTCGATCGGTAATTTCGTTCCCACGCAGAGCCTCCTTATCCGCAGAGACATCGCGTTTGAAATTAGTTGCGAAAAAGCTCGTACGATGACGAAACATTAATCGTAACACTGTTTATGTTATTGAAATTGTCAGGTCATTGTCCGCCCGTAAAGGTCGTTGTAACTTTACGCGAGGATGTGAAGTATACCCGATAGCCTCATTTTTTTAATGATAATAATCCTTTGTCTCTCGATACGCATGTGATCGATAACTTACGCTGAAGTTGATGACTACTTACTAACGCTAACTGACTATAATACTCCACTTGCGATTGAAAATCGAGAATAATATGAACTACGTTACGAACAATTGTTTCTACATTTTTCTTATCGTTGTTCGCACGATGATTAAATACATTCTATAATTTTCTATTATTATTATATGTTTGAAAATTGAAATACCTATTTATTTTCAACATGAAATTTAATAACAAAAAAATATGCAATAGACAAAATGCTACTATAGAGTAAGAGAGAAATCGGATAAAAAAAAATTGATTGCAGAGCAAGAAAAAGAAATGACACCATAAACTAGTTTCCACCTCATCGTATGTACTACTTTTTAATAGCCTCGAATGAAGTTTCATGAGGCCTAATCGACAGTTTCCTCGTTTGTTGCGAACAACCTCGATAACTTTTCGTTCGTGCAATTTTTTTCTCAATGCGCCGTAACACGCACTGATTACGCTTTTCACGACAAACGAATGACAAGGAGCCACAAATTGGACGAATTATGTGTTACAGAATTGGTGGGGGACGAGGTTTCGATGATGTCCCAATTAGCGATATCAAAGAAAATGGATCGATAAGCGTGACGATAAATGCACGTGCATTTCGAGAACCAGATGCATTGTTATGAGCATTCAATGACAGCTGATTCAACACGGTCGTAACGAAAATTAATTCGTTCATGCGTCTGTATAACTAAAACTATCGATTGATTTTACTTTTCAATCTATTTGCTTTCTCGATAAATATTATGCGCAAGTAAGCTGAACAAATTACTTAAAATGCTGAATAGATTATCATGTGAAAATGATCCGTGTTGCTTTGTTTCAAACGAGGTTATAATTGGTATAATAGTGTCTTCTTAGGGGAAAAGGCATGATTTTCTGATAGGCCCGATCAACGGTGGCCCTCGCTGACCAATTAATAACCGTTCGTCACCGAATACTACGTAAAGTGATGCATTGTTCAGTTATGTACACTTTCATCGGATGATGTCATCGTGTCTCACATGTGTCTGCGTCGCATACCACAAGGTCGTCAGTGTCGTGACTGCTGGAATGACGTATCCATACGACACACCAACACAAAAGAAATGAGTGGCCTGTGTAAACCGCGAGATACAGCAGCAATATGCGCTTCCGGTTTTTCAGAAAAGTACGGTTACGCCCTTCGATGGTAGAAAAGAAATATCGAACTTACGTGCGCCTCTTGCTGTCAGGATCGTCCTTCTTGTTTTACTTTTGTCTTCCCTTTTCTGACATCAATTAAAAAAAGGAAATACACGGCAGAAACTACGAGACGTATATACTCAAAAATCTTATTTCCTGTTACGCACGACTCTCTTGGTTTTTCTTCTCCTGGTCTATTTTAAGGATTCGCGTTTTATGCAGTGTTCTCATGTGATGAGCAATTTTCTGCACACCCGATCTACGCGAAACAAGCAGCGTAAATTTCGTGCGGTGCTCGATGACTCAAATACGGAATGCTTCCGTACGAAAATAGCAACTAATAATCGCTTTGCCAATGGAACATATTTTCCACCTAATAAACTATTTCATATATTTTTTACATTATGCGTTTTGTATCTCGCAACGCAAAAATATGTCATTTTATAAACGCGATACAAATAATATTTAATAATGAATAAAACTGAAACAATTGAACAACATCTTAAGTAATCATTATTAATAAAACATCGTTGCAAGAATAGAGAATAAGTCCTAGGATATATCATGAAAAAAGATTTCGATTCGTAGACGTAGTCTAAACATGAATTTTAAGGAATGATTGGTAATATTAATAAAACTCACTGAACGCTTGGGAGCGTCGAGGTCGTGGATAGTGCTGTCTGGAAGATAAGAGTATGACACTTGCATCCGGTAAAGGGAGTTTCCGTGATTCCTCTCTTACTATTTTCCTCGGGCACAGTTTTATATAGAAAGAAAGAACGGTTGTCAGTCTTCTCGTCCAGCGCTGCTATTCGTCCGACTTTTCCGTCCCGATCGGTATCCACCAATCGTCATTCGCTTTTGACGCGGCGAAAGAATAAATGTCGGAAAATTTGAAAACGCGACTTAAAGAGCACGATTTTGGATCCATCGGGACAAGTGTTGGAACGATATATATTGGCCAGGCACGTAAACTAGTGGTAAGGCCGAAGCGGAGATAGAAGCTGTACTCGATGCCCGTGCAGGAGGTTCGAAGAAAATCCAAGTGCAATAAGATGGCGTCACGCACGTCAGACCTAGGGAAGAAGTGAGGGGTAGAGGAAAGACAGGAAAGAGGCAGGCCAGGCGAACGTCGCCAGGGGATCGCGGTGTGTGACAGAGAGTGCGAATACGGTGCTGTCATGTCTTCTTCGGACCTTAAGAACGATTACATTTCGATCACGGTGGTAAAACGTTGTGCGTGATCCATCGTCCAGTAACATCATCGATGCCTTTGTTCGGCAATAAGAGCTGTTCTCGTTCGACCGCGTTCGTTTCGAGAATACGAAGACGGAGTTAGTAGCGGCGGTAGTCGGTTACGCACCGTGTTCAAGAAAAAACAAACGTGCAACGATAATCGGCTAGGAACTCGAGAGAGAGAACCTTCCTCTCGGTCCTGGACACGTCGAGGAGGAGGAGGAGGAGGAGGAAGAGGAGACGGAGGCGAACTGCCAAAGAGATGCGCGAGTTCAAGGTAGTCGTCCTCGGCTCGGGCGGGGTAGGAAAGAGTGCACTCACCGTGCAATTTGTTTCGGGATGTTTTATGGAGAAGTACGATCCGACGATCGAGGACTTCTATCGGAAAGAGATCGAAGTGGACAACTCGCCGTGCGTACTGGAGATTCTCGACACCGCTGGCACCGAACAGTTTGCGAGTATGCGCGATCTTTACATAAAGAACGGGCAAGGCTTTGTCGTCGTTTACAGTTTGACGAATCATCAGACCTTTCAGGACATCAAGGCCATGAAGGAATTGATAACGCGCGTCAAAGGTACAGAAAGAGTGCCGGTGTTGCTTGTCGCGAACAAACTCGATTTGGACCATCAACGCGAAGTGGAAACTGCCGAGGGTAACAGTTTGGCGCAACTCTGGGGATGTCCTTTCGTCGAGGCGTCCGCGAAGAATCGCACAAACGTAAACGACGTGTTCGCGGAGATTGTACGCGAAATGAACTTCAGCCCGGAGAAAGAGAAGAAGAGCTACTGCTGTTGCAACGTGCTCTAATAATTAATCAAAATCCTGAACCAGGCTAACCGTGCCACGTTAGGTAAAGGAAATGTACGTAGTGGCTGATCGCGGTGCACTAGATGATTTGTCTAGCAACTACGCTGCTCTCTTTCTTGAGCCCGACCTTGGGCTTGTGCTGTGAATTCGCCAATCTGTAAGACTAATGTTACCCCGGATCGTACCGTGGATCTTTGTGAATTCAACTATGTCAAAGACTAATGCCGTCTCTTGGTTCTTTTTCTATCGGAAAATCACAGTCTGCTGTTCGGCTGGCTGTTAAATATTTTAATATACATGGATAGTATTATATGTAATATTATTGTAATATATAATGATAGATATAAGCGGGTAATGAAAGAAGTAACTCCGTCAGCAAAGGACCAATACTCGACAGAGAACGAGCGAGAAAAGGAGATAAAAGTGACATTAGGAAGAGGACACGGATAGCATCGAGGGTGATAACAAAACTACCCAGGGATAGTTGTCACTTGTTAACGGCATAAACCAAGCTCGATACGTCTAGCTTTCTGCTCAATCTAAATGAGGCCACAGTCGCATATTTCTTTTGATCTGCACGCCTGCAGTGCTCGCAGGTTGGATGTGGATTAATACAGCGTCTAAACTATTTACAGATATCAAAGAGATCACTGTGGTGGCCAGCTGTTTGACATAGTGGAAAGAATTTAAACGACTGAGTAAATGTTATTTACAATGTACAGTCAGGAACTTGGAAGAAGATAGAAGGTCTTACATACGCATTGTGCAATGATATCCATTAACGATATATATTACCCGTGCTCAAACGTCAGAGGCTGCGGTAAAAGATACTTCTATAAGGGGTTCGAATGCTGAGTCGTTAATGGTTCTGGAATCGAGTGTACAGTTCTAATAGTAAAAATACATTTTATTAAGGCAAGCATAGAGTATTGAAAACGACCCGTTAATGGCTCGAATTTTATATTCAAGACCATGATATTTGGATAGTCGAGTTCCATCTGGTTTCAGTATGGTTTCGTTGCATACCAGATATTTATATTCTTGTTTCATTTTGGATTCGATCACTTGGAGTGGAAATTTGATGCGCAACATCTGGTGTTTCGATTAACCAAGGTATAATTAAAGAAAATATGTCGAAGATAAATAGAGAAGGAAGAACGCCGATGGAAAGGAGATTGCGGTAATGTTACAGTGGAACATTAGTACATAACGTCAATCGTAAACATAATTATAGGATTTATATGGTAAAGTCTGTACAATAGAAAACAAATACAAAGTCTTTATACAATTCTAATAAGTTTTATAGCCAATTTTAAACCAGCAAGAGATGGTTAGGCTTTGAAATTTGTTTTTCACAAAGGCTTGCTGGTACATTGATCCCCTCAACTGCAAAATACATACGTGGTACTCGTAATAATATCCGATATATCCATTGCTTTGTACGTACAGAGAATCTTCTTTCAAAAACCAATCACCGTTAAGTTTAGTGAATGTTATACCGATGGATGTAAAAAAAAGAAGCAATGGACTCCCTTATAAGTAGCAGTAGGTCGTGTGTAATTTTTCTCGTGTGATCAAAAATCATATTATCCGATGTTAAATACCGCTTTTATACCATAACAGTCATTACATTAGCTTGATATGTTACTATTTAACGCCACCATCGAAGTCATTAATTTCCGTGTGATCGCTGCACGACGTACCTTAAGCAAAATAAGGGTTGTTCGCTCGTCTATCGTTGATGTTTTATTTTGTTTGTTTAATCGAAGGATATTGATCCTGATTTCTGGAAGGAAAAAAATGTATTTATAGTTTGTATAATATCTACTTGTTCGTCTAGATTACCTGTCTTTCGGATCGATTACGATGTTGAATTATACACGAGCGATGCCGCTTCCCGGCCAAGCATATCCGAGGACCTTAAAGTCGAACTGAAAAGTTTAAAATGAACTGATGTACAGTATTTCTATCATTGGTAGTTAGAAGTGTCCGACGATATAGTTTTTGGGAAGAGCTATCGGTCGTACATTAATTCGTGTATTTTTTTCAATTGTCGGTGCACTTTTAGAAACGTCATTTCGTAGCGAGTACGCGTGGCTAGGTATTTCGTCTAATTTCGTGAATCGTAAAAAGCCTCGATACTGCATAAATTTTTCGCAACAGTAAAATTTAAAGTTACAGACCAGTTTTATTTTATAGTTTTCGTTCTATACTGTTTTAAGTAAAATGATATAAATATGAAAGAAAAAAATACCGACACTATTTTTACCGCGGTTTTACGCGTACCTATTTCGATCAAAAGTTGTCTTTCGATAGAAATAGTGTTAAGATCCATTGGATCACGGTTTGGTACTATAGAGTTAATTTCGAACATAACCCGTTTTAAACGACGGTAATTCTGTTTTAAATTCTGGCGTCAATGTGCCGGTGTTCGTTCGAATATATAATTGATCGTGTTTAAAGCGGAAGAAAGTATCGAAAGTAGAAGAGATACAAGACAGCCTCGCGTATTCGATTGATGAATGGTGCTAATACGGTCCGTCAGTTTAAGATTGACGGAGCGTATACCGACGTAGCGAATCGGCCATCCATTTCGTTACTGTACTCAACTAAACAGGCAAGAAAGAAAGGGTGGGGGGTTGGGCAACACAGAATTATTCGTATCCACTACTTTTATCGCCCGGAAAATTCATAGTCTCGCTGTGATCCCGTAGATGTAACCGCAGTTTTTCTATTAAAAGACGACGATAATAACCGCGTATAAAAGCCTTTCAACGGCGAATCAAAGGGCCTCTTTGTGAAACGTGTAATCGCTCTCGCTCCATTATCGTTACGTTTTTTCCGCCCTCCCGGGTTTTTTGTGCTTCGCGAAAACCATGGATTGGCAAAATGCAAAAATGAAATTAGAACAGTCGCTTATTAATTGGGCGCGGATAGCTCTCCAAGTAGTATACCACTCTGATGCACAGAAACGAATAAGGGAAAGAAGAAAAAAAAAAGAAGTTTCTATATTTGTATCGCTTCTGAACATAACGCACGTACACGCACACACGCACGCGCGACATGCAACACACACACACACGCGCATATATCTACACGTACACGCGTGTTTGTCCGCCGACGCGAAACCGCGTTTAAGAATATTTTTCTAAAGCATGCGCTGGGAAAACTTTTGTACAAGAGACAAAGTCAAATTGTCTATTACTTGGAAAGTTGTCTAGCGCAACGGAAGACGAGCCTATGTCCGAGTCAGCATATCAGTGTCATGGACCAGATTCGTTTCGTTTACATCTTCGTTTCGGCCAGTAAATAGTTCAGATTTTTTTAGAGGAAAAAAAAAAAAAAAAAGAAAGATACTTGGGAAAAAGAAAGCACAAGAATTCACCACCTACAAAACGATTCGCATACGATTTTATAATTAGATATAAATAAATAAATAAATAAATGAATATATATATACAGTATATATATGTATACATGCAGATTTGTTACGCAACTGGGTCACATTAATTCGAAAAACACCACGATTTAGATGTATATCGGCCTTTCAGTACTACCTGCGTATGATATTGAGTACGAAATACGTTATATTTTTTACAATGTGAAGAAACTGTAAATATTATAGCGTCGAATTATATGTAATAATAATATTAATAATAATAATAATAATAATAATATTAATAAAAAGGAATACTGATAAACGATTATCTGACATTTGAAAAAGACAACAATTGAGAATGGCTTACAGTAAAAAATGTGCATTTCATTGACGAGTTTATGAAACACGATACGTTTCTTCGCTTCGTTTTTTTTTTCTTTCTATCGTCTTTCGTCGATCGCATCGTTCTCGATTCAACGGCTACGTTTCGCATAATCACTTGGGTAGACAAGAAACGGATACTCGAGGCACTTAAAAAACGACACCATCTGCGAAAAAATTTTTGTTTGCTGGTAATTTGAATCTCGCGCCCGTTTTGTTCCGACTCGCGTTGAGGAGGGAAATGCACAAAAAAGTGTGCGCTATTTTTTACCCGTAGTAAAAAAAAAAAAAAAAAAAAAGAAGAAGGAAAGAGAGTAAAACCTTACAAGCATGTGTTCGTTTGTGTATTTCTCTTTTCAACGCCCGACGAAAATAAACCGAATATCGATAATAAAGTGTATTTTCTTTCTCTTTGTTTGAAAGGGAAGTTTCAACAGTACAGGATTGAATAACAACGTGGTATTGTTTCTTTGATTGTGGTTCAAAGTTCGTTGCATTTTTTCTTTCTTTTTTTTTTCAAAATTTCAATGGATGAATTACCAGCATGATAATCTAGTCACTACAGAATTCTTGTAACTCAATGACATGGAAAAAAAAAAATACACAATGCGTGCTTAAAAAAAGAAAATTTCTACCAGGAGAATGCAAATACGTTACAGCTGTCCTACTCTATCATCCAAATTATTCATTTTGATATTACAATTAACTTTCGAAACGTTATTTTCTCGTACAGCTTAGAGAATAAGTTAAATTGAATAATTCGATTGAATGTTTATATGTTTGTTACTATTATTATTATTATCATTATTATTAACAAATGTTTAGAAATTATAAGGAGAAAAATTGTAATTGGATTTTAAGGATGATAGGTTAACGCAGAAATGAATTTCTTTTTTACATCATGAAGCCAACTTTTTTCCATGAAAACATTGGGATAGGTCCAATGATAACTATCCAAGTGATTTATCATGCCTCAATACTGGTGCACATTTTTTCTTTGTACGCAATTTTTTCACATTTTTTTATTACTAACCATTGTACTGGCATTTTGGCAATATCGCACAAATATAATATAGAATAAAAACAAGCAACAACTTTGTTACTGATTGATTAATTCCTTCACGATAAAAGAAAAATTAAAATTCCTATAACCTAATACGAACCCTCGCCTATCTCATTTTTAATCTACTTTATTGATACAAAAATACTGCAACTTTTTATTCAAATTTATTTATTTGATTTGAAGTATTGTAAAATTAACGATTATTCGTCATTTGAGAAATGTTTCGTAAATTAATATTTTTCAATCTAATTATTAATCATTACGGTTATTTGAACTTGATTTATTTGTATTTTTCTTATATTTTCGTATATTTCAATTGTACTAAATTGGAATTTTCCAAAAACAAATAGGTACCTTTCCGTTTTTGAAATATTTCGTCCATCCATTAATGGTAAGTATATATATTTTATAATTATATAAAATGTGCATTACTTTCATCCAAAGTCTAATGACGTTAATAAATTTTCAATGGAAATCACAATGTATATTAATCTAACATTTGTACAAATAATTTTATTTAATTAATATTTATACATTTGGAAACTCTTGATTGAAACAAAAAATGAAAATATCAATAGAACTACAAGTATATATTAGTGTTTATACATGTACACTCTTTTATTAACAAACTGAAAATGATAAAACTTACAGGAACGAGATTTATAAATTAAATGCAAAAGAAAATCAATAATTCTTATTTCTATTATACTTTTCTCGTATAATACTGCAAAGGCGATGAAGAACCTAATCCTAAAAAAAATGATAACTTTGACATCCCTAAATTTAATTCGAAACAAATAAATCATTCATCCTTCTGATACATTCGTAAGCTTCCGTTGTGGGGACCTTCATGCAAGCAGAAATTAGTTCATAAGTTACATAGGAATTGGAGATTTTTAGTGAATGAGGTATGTCGCGTGTATTCTCGCCGTATTCGTAACTGAATTTGAAACATTCGTCGCAAAAGTGATAAAAAATATTTAAGAGATCTTGCAGGCTGTGTACAGACACGCTCTGCGTATCGTTGTTTAAATGTGTAAGGCAGCTGGTAAACAGATCCGCGTAACATGTATATTTTATACTGCTATCGAGCTGATTAAAATTTGTTATTAACAATTGGTATATTTGCTCTTCGTTTTTCATCCCTTCGAGCGACACGAACGTTTTCGAAAAACCTGTGAAAGATTTAAACAGGAATGGAAACAAATCGTTTCCGCCGACAGATGGATATTCCAAAGACAAACAGCACGCCTCTATCGTTATGCGCAACAAGTCATTGTATGCTTCGATTTCATCGCTCCATCCAAAAGCAAACCAATATAGCATAGTGAGTTCCGAGGCTAATCTATGATACTCGCTCTCGGTCGAACCAATGATCAAGTGACGCAAAAAATCTTCTCTCAGCAAATTCAAATCTGACAAATAGTTTCGTAGGTCCACCGAAGTCTTAGGATCCTCTTTCAATCTATTTAATATGATAAAACACCGTCTTTCATAGTCTTTTACGATATCAATCACACTGACACCTTTTTGCATTAAATAACAAAGAGAATCGAAATGCATTTTGTCTATTGGTTCGATCACCGCTTCGATGCTATAGATTATTTCCTTTTTAGTGGAATCGGGAATTTTATAGCTCTTAATTTCCAAAAAGTATTTCAGTATTCTCGTTATTTCGTTATGTATTTCGCTGATCAAATGTTTCGAAATATTTCTGTTTCTTCTAAAAAATGACATTTTCTTTGCAAGAACTATTATCAAGCCTTTGACATTCGTATCTTTGGTACAATTAACTTGTAATACGCGAATATTATTAAGAACAGAGATTATGTTCGATTCGTTGTACGTACCATTCTCTAGATACGGTATGAAAACGTTATTTATCAAATCGTGTACATTAATTATAGATCTGTCTAATAGAACTTTTATGAACTCCGTAAACTTCTTTCTATTCCATTCGGTATTCTCTGTACAAATTGTTCTTAAAATGTTGATTAAAAGTATTTGATCGTTATCTTCTTTTATTTGCATAAATGGCGATAATAGAGGTATATCGTAGGCGGAGATCATGATGTTTCTGTATTGGCAATGACCAATGGTAATCTTTAAAAGAATAGTCATTACTAATCTGAGATTCTTTAAAAGGAACAGCAAAACGATTTTCAAATTTGTCGACTTCTGCAAATTTGAGTTCCGTGAAATGAATTCGTTAAATGTTTCTTCTGTAAACAGAGATTCTAAATAATTTTCACCGTCGTATCTCACCAGATACGACATTACTATTTCGTAAATATCTGGTATATTTTGAAGCGATAATATTCTCGTAACCGAAGCGTAACTAAACTCCTTCAAATCTTCTTCGATCGGCTGCTTAAGAATAAAAGTAAGATATTCTAAAAGATAGAAACAGTCATTTTTATCTAGCAAAGGCTTGTTTTTACAAACAAATTCTAGTATTGTCCTATCCCATTCTTTGTATCGACACATCAATTCTTTCATAAACTCTTTTTTACCACTGCATATGGCACAGCATACCTCTTGTAAACTTAAAACGAAGTTTGATTGGCTGAGATCTGGTTTCGACGACAAATGTTGCAGACACTCTATTAAATGCGTGTTCTGTGATAATTCTTCGTCGTTCTGTAGCAGTTCTATGAAATAATAACACTCGTTTCCAATGGAACGTTGCAAAGAGATCATATTGTTTTCTTCGTCGTACAGTTCTACCCAAGTCATGTACATTTTACAGTCGATATCCTTTACTTTGTCGGACAATATATCCATCAATTGTTGATTTAACGTCGTTACAGTACTTTCTATAAGCGCATCATCACACTTTAGAAACGGTTCTCCTCCGAATGTAATGTCGTATAATTTTTTATCATTTTCGGAGATATCGATTCCTTTCATTTTGCATTCGAAACACCTTTTTACCGTAACGATCAATTTTTTAAACATAATGCCATAATGGTTACATTCTTTCAAACTTAGTAACGTTGGCGGTGTTGAAGTGAATTTTGGATTTATTAACACCAACATGAAATCTTGAAAACCAACTAACAAATTTTGTATGCTTTCTCCAAGATCGGTAGACTGTACACCAATTTCCTTTAGACGAATGAATTTAATATACACAGTCAATATAGTCTGATATATACTGTCTATAGATCTTTGAAAAGGTAGTTCTTCTATACATTTCTTAAGTACTTCCAGTACCTCCGTACACAGATCACACGGCATGTATAAAAACGACCGAATTAAAATCTTTTCGTACTTCATGTTCCACAATATTTGCATAAATAAATACAAAGATATAGGAGGGTACATGTCGACCAAATGGCCACTGACAATATCTTCCTCTAGACGTTCCTGATTCTTAAATTTGGTGTTTAACAATAAATATTTATACGACTTTACACACTTCTCGTTACTGACAGAAGCATTATCTTTTGTAGGTATATCGTAGGTCTCGAATATGTTCGTTATCGATTTACATATATCATCGATATGACCAATGTTTTCTAATGTTGCGCGCGAAGTGAGAAACTGTAATTCTCCACATTCTTGATTCTTCTTCATAAAATATGTCTGAATTTTTTTGTCAAATTCATTCCACTCGTCCATTGTCGATGCTATTTTTTAATATATCAATTTACACGATTTCCTGAACTAACATTGAACAAATTGTTTACGATAGCTCAGTAAACATTTTTTGAATCTCTGAAAATTTATTACAGTTAGTACGTTTATCGACTAATAAGTTTCAAACAATTATAAACGCAATATAGACGATTAATTAACACAAAATTCGTATGAAAAAAGAAACAAAAAGAAACATCATTACCATCAGCTTTTGTGATAAAGTCGCAATATAATTTTTATTGCGCGCTCTCAGCCATTAATTGTGACGATCATGGGTTTTTATTTTCGAACAGCGTTTTCGCTATCAACTTAGATTAGCTTTATAAATTTCCACTCTTCTTTGTACTCGTTACGTCACAGATAAATAACGTGCTAAAACACGTGCGCTCTGCACAGATTTATTCATAAAAAGAAAATGGTTCGTGCTTGGTATATGGACGAGAGTGACACCGATCAACGACTGCAACACCATAAAGAACCGCCTGAATTTCTCTCCCTGGAAGACTTGTTCAGAAGAACTGGAGTCGAATATTTTAAGGTTAGATCAAATTTTAATATTCATATAAGATTGTTGCATGACACTCGTTTACAGCTTTGCAATTATTCCTTTCGTCTTATACATGGCAATCACACAAAGTTTCGATTACTTCGAACGACTACGAAAAATAATTACCTTGAAATTTTACCGTATTAGAACCATATTTTAACGTAACAATGCCCATTTATAATCACGAAATTAATTACACTAATTTAGATCAATTGCAAAAACTACGAAAATGATGATACATTGAAGGAATTAAAAACGAAACGTGGTTATACGTACGAGGATGAAATAAAATGTTCCAAAGACTGTCTTCCTAATTATGAAGAAAAAGTAGGTAAAATTCGTTTATAACGTATCTGGTACATATTTGAAATACGAATAAAACGTTATCTTAAATATTCCAGCTGAAGAATTTTTTTACCGAACATCTTCATACGGACGAGGAAATAAGATTAGTTTTAGACGGATCAGGATATTTTGATGTTAGAGATAAAAAGGATCAATGGGTGCGCGTCGAAGTTACGGCTGGCGATTTGATAATTATCCCTAGCGGAATATATCATCGATTTACTCTGGACATCAATGTAAGTATTTGTCGTACGATCGAGTAGAACATTAAATTTTCTTTATCATTAATTGCTACTTATTTTTCATTTTTTAGAATTATATTAAAGCAAAACGTTACTTCGTGGGAGAACCTGTTTGGTTGCCTTATAACAGACCAGCCGACGATATGGAATGCCGTAAAAAGTATCTCGATCGTTTGCATAATGATTTTCAAGCACAATTTGTTTAACATTTATTATCAAAGCTGCTGCTAATATGTACCAGGGGTTAAAAACAGTTGTGAGATTCAAAAATATGTTATGGATATATCGATTTCAATTTATACAGGTTTTACGGTTTTGTATTCTAGATTAACTTTTTTGCAGATCATATTCGTTTGTTTCAAATCAAATTCACGTTGTGGGTGACTCAAAAGCGAGCTAATATAATATTTTATTAGGCTAAAACAGACGTATTTGTAACATTAACATATTTTTGGTTCTCACGACAGTTTTATTTCAGTTTGAAACTGTTATTTCTGGAATCGTTTCAACGATCGACATATACTTTAAAAAAAAATATAAAGCAAATAAAATGAGTGTTCGCAACGAAGTTCCATCTAATAATGGAAATAATATTTTAATACAGTAACAAAATTCTTATATATATGTACATTCCATAATACAATAAAGTGTAATAAAAAAACATTTTTGATTTTTTAAACAAATTATTACAAACTTCAGAATCACTGGGATATTTTGTATATAATCATGTTTTACAGGTACTGGTTGTATTTTTTGCTAACGAGGCACATACTTTGCGAATTATATTTATTATGTATAAAGTTTTAAAATAAAAATTTCATCGAAAATATTTACTATTGGCCTCAAACCATAAAAGTTATTAGCAGCTGTTTACAATTCACATTTTTTATTTTAATAAATTATGTACATACATACAAAAGCCATTTTAGGCTAGTATTGAAACATTCGTAGAGTTTCTGTTCTCAAATGTTTGTTTTAAATACGGATTTTCATGCACCTTCGACTCAAATTCGATTAAAAATATCATCTTATAGTCTTAAATTCGTAATCGTGTCAAATGAGAATAAAAATGATTTGCTCTTGTTGGACAATAATTACATATTTTGTATCCATTTGATAATACTACACAAAGGGCAATGTCAGAACAAAAATAAAAACTAACATTAATTTTTAGATCCTAATTATATCGATCCAGTTCATTTCACATAAAAAAACGTATTTTCCATATTTCGCGATGATTGGGACTTAATCCATGAAAATACATGTATAAACTAAGTACTATTACGTCATTTAAATAAAAGAGATTATAGGACGAGAGACTGCATATTAAAACAAAAGTCAGCCTTTGTATTGTCTGTCTATTCAATTAAAAGTCAGCATTAACCGTAAAATTACTTTCGATTTTGTCTTGCATGACCCCCCACTTTTGATATTCTCCAACTTTCTTTTCAAAAAAATTAGTTTTACCTTCTAGGGAAATGTGCTCCATGAAGTCGAATGGATTCTTAGACATGTAAATCTGAAAATTGAGAAATACATTGGTAAATATTATTGCTACGTAAGATGACGATTTTACGCACCTTTTCACAACCCAGTTCAATGAGTAATCTATCTGCAACAAATTCAATGTACTGACACATGAGTTTACAATTCATGCCGATCATTTCAACTGGTAAAGCGTCCGTCAAAAATTCTTGTTCAATTTCAACAGCATCTTTAATGATTGACACGATTCGTTTAGTAGACGGTTTCTGTACAATATGTTTAAACAATAAACATGCAAAATCACAATGTAATCCCTAGAAGAAAATTAAAATCTTGAATATTTTCTGCGCGCATGTAGTCAAATAGGGCATATGTTTATATGAATGTATATACGAACCTCATCTCTAGAAATAAGTTCATTACTAAACGTTAGTCCTGGCATAAGACCTCGTTTCTTTAACCAAAAAATAGCGGCAAAACTGCCACTGAAAAAGATACCTTCCACCGCAGCAAATGCAACTACGCGTTCAGGAAAAGTGGCGGTTTCGTGGTTTATCCAATTTAGCGCCCAATTAGCTTTCTTTGCAACGCATGGTAAATTTTCAATCGCGTTGAATAAAAAGTCTCTGCAAATATACGATAATAACATAATTAAAACTTTACCGATATTTATTTATTTAAAAAATATGTGTTTTCTCGGGAGCAAATCACATATTTAATTTACTATTTACCTTTCTTTTATGTCCAAAATATAAGTATCGATCAACAAAGAATACATTTCTGAATGCACATTTTCCATGGCAACTTGAAAACCATAGAAGCAACGTGCCTCTGTTACTTGCACCTCCTGACTAAATCGTTCAACAAGATTCTCGTTGACAATGCCATCGGAGGCTGCAAAAAATGCCAACACGTGAGATATAAAATGCCTCTCGTTGTTATTTAAACTATTCCAATCTGCAACATCCTGCAAAATGTACAAGCATTATAATCAATTATTATCTTAGAATACTTAAAAATGCAGAAATTATACCTTCGAGAGATCAACTTCTTCTACAGTCCAAAAGGAGGCTTCAGCTTTTTTGTACATTTGCCAAATATCAGGCCACTGTATGGGGAAGACCACGAATCTTCGAGGGTTATTCTTAAGCAACGGTTCCAATTCCACATTAAAATCATTTTCGTTCATTTGTACTTTCCTTACAGCTTTGGTTTTAGCCTCCTGATAAAACGAACAAATGTTACTTGAATCCTTTTTATGACAAATACAATCTCTTTAACGATATAATAGAATTACACGATTGTTTTATATTCGTACAGTGTCATACAGGTATATAAAAAGAACGGCTTACCACACTTTTAGCGCCATTTACATCAGAAATATTCAGCAAAGCACATAATTTGCTAGGTGATAACTAAAACAAAGAAATTAATTAGCTGATAATATCAAAATTGTTTTGCGATATATTGTGATTATTTTGTGGTATGTGATATAACTCTTATGTCTTTGCACCAAAGAAAACTAACTTATTTGTTAAGTTCCAATTGAATTTAGTACCTTACTCGCGAAAGGTAGATAGATTATTCTTAACTAACTACATTGTGCAATTGCGTGCAACAATTGGTAATTTATCATGAAGAACTATCAGTAAATAGGGGAACTATAATACTAAGTTGTAACATTACATTAGATCATGATTACCTTACAATTAAGAGATATTTTTCACATAAATAAGAAATTGTATACAGTATTATTGATACTGTACATGTCAAGGAGTAGATTTTACTTCTTTTTACATATACCTATCTAAAGTTAACCTTTTACATACCATGCCACATATATTTCATTAAAAGCAATACTTCCCTAGTTTCTTCAATCCACACAGAAAAACCTTTAATACCATTTATGAACATAATTCTTTCGTAAAATTCACAAATTTTTCGACACTTGAATTACATCGAGCACATGTTAAACGGATACTCATTCGTCCGCTACTTATAAATTAAAAACATTATTACTAAATCTTAATTCTTGCTATTATTTATAGCAAAATAATTTCTTTCTTTCAGAAGATCGTATTTTATGTCAAATTTGTACAAACAACGTTTCAAGTATTACAAAAAAAAAAATAAAATAAATAAAATTGAAATTATAAAAGATTTAATAATACGTTTTTATCATAAGCACGGATACGAGAAAAATGACATTCAATGTTGTAATCTAAAATTACTTAATGTTTACAAAATCTATGAAAGTATCTGTAAAATAGATTAGTTTCGTTGATCGATATGTACTTGGTTTATTCAAAAATATAAGAATGTGCGATGTGTCATTTGGAATCAAAGTTACACGCTATCTGAAGAATCGACCAAGGATATAAGGATGAAAAATCGTCTGAAATTGATAAACTCACTTTTTTCTTTGGAGAAATGTCCTTAAGACATTTACGAATATTTTCCTTCGTAGCAATTTGAAGTGGCATTGTAAACGTTAATACTTGTCACAGAAAAGGCGAACTAAGAACAACTTTTGCGAGGACGCAACGAACAAGATACTGTGTTCGTCGTGCAACTCTTCAACGTTAAAACTGTATTATCGTAAGTGCTCCTATTGGTGCTGATCCGTTCTGTTTCGCGCTAAATTGCCATCGACCAATCAGCTGAGCATCATTTACCGCCAAAACACATTAACCCGGATAATACCGAAATAATCATATTTTTATGAACGATACCCATTCGAAAATCCATTAAAATAATTTTATTCAAACTTTTTAAAACTAGTTATATTATATAAACGTAATAAACGAATGTTTAGTTTCCCGCGTATTTTATAGGATTGCGCATGACGCAGAGAGAATTATAAGTTACATACTACGAGTCACAGGCGAACACGATTTGATTCAAATAATAGTTATGTCTATTCGATCGATGAACTTCCTGCTAGATCATTATGAAACATTTCGTTTCATAATTCAAATTATAATTAGGCGTAATTCTTATCTGAATAAAAATTGGAACGATGAGTGAAAGATAATCAACTTTTTATCTGTTCCTTGTCAAATAAAACTGATAATTTCGTTGATAACCTTTGATGAAAAGTATATCGCGAAAATTCTTTTATGTAAAAGTCGTTTGCATAATGAGCAATTTTATTCCCGAAAATGTTTCTAATCGAACGTATGGTAAACATTTTTAGGTTTATTTAAACGAGCCTTTATGATTGCGTTCACTCGTTTAAATTTAATAGTGCATGCTTATTATATTTTCATCTATTAAAATGAATTTACACGTGTTAATATAAGTATTAAAATTAATTCCAAAGTAGAGATTTATAATGTATAATAGTTTATGAAATAATATTTCAACCTAAACAATTGTAAACTACATTAATGTTACATTGATATTATTTTGTACATTCAACAATAATGTATCGTAATTATAAAAAATTAATTTACTATTGAAATTAATATGTAGAACGACGATACAAGATATAATATTTTTGACAACAATAAAATGTCAAATTTAAAAGAGCGCCATTTTATGTTATCGCGACAGATTTGGTTAATTGTATGCCTTTATGAAACTCGCTAATTCAAATATCAGCTTCTTTTAGTTCATATTCGCACGCGTAAATTATTCTTCTCAGGAAAATGTTTACCATGAAAGAGTAAATTTTCACAAATTACGGATAGATCGTGTTCGAGAACAGTTCTGTTTTAAACGCCTTGGATTTCGAGGTTAGTATCAAAGACTTAGTGTTTTGTCCCATTTGTTTGTAATAATGAAATCACATCGAAGTTAAACGAAAAGCAATATTATATACGAATCATAGATAAAGTCTTATAAAAGGGTTTAATTATTTGTTTATATCGTAATACATTTAACTGTTGCATTACAATGTAAACAAACGCCAGAATCTCTTAGTTATAATTTTGTATTACATTTTAACATCACACGATTGCTATGTGAATATTCAACATTGATTACTTTTAGCAGAGAAAACGTACAGCAGTATGGCTCTACATACAGTACCTCCGAAACGGAAAGAAATTTACAAATACGAGGCACCATGGCCTTTGTATAGTATGAATTGGTCTGTCCGTCCTGATAAACGATTTCGTTTGGCCCTTGGCAGTTTTGTGGAGGAATACAACAATAAAGTACAAATAGTTTCGCTCGACGAAGAGACCTCTGAATTTAGTGCCAAAAGTACTTTTGATCACCCTTATCCGACGACAAAGATTATGTGGATACCGGACAGTAAAGGTATTATTTTTTGGTGAGATGTCTCTATATTCTTTTGCTACATTATTTATTTGTAGTTATTCTTTTGTTTCCATAGCCAAAGTTAAGGACATAAATTAGGAAATTATGGAGCATCCCCTCTATTCCTCCAATTTAACATAATTAGATCATTGTCTTTTCGGATCGTCGTGAAAATTTATTTAGAATAAAAACGCACGAATTTTCCGTTCGACATGACAAAACAATCGAAAGATCAAATTACTTTTTACGATTCTAAATTAACCCGCGCTTTGTATTTCTTTCTAGGATTGTTTCCTGACCTCTTAGCTACGTCCGGGGATTATTTACGAGTCTGGCGGGCAGCTGAACCGGAGATTCGGTTAGAATGCGTTTTAAACAATAACAAGAATTCAGACTTTTGCGCCCCCTTAACATCTTTTGATTGGAACGAAGTGGATCCGAATTTAATCGGCACTTCTAGCATAGACACAACGTGTACTATCTGGGGACTAGAAACGGGACAAGTTTTGGGTAGGGTTAACATGGTCACCGGACACGTGAAAACGCAGTTAATTGCTCACGACAAAGAAGTATATGATATAGCGTTTAGTCGCGCTGGCGGTGGTCGCGACGTGTTTGCATCCGTTGGCGCAGACGGTTCCGTTAGGATGTTCGATTTACGGCACTTGGAACACTCAACAATAATTTACGAAGATCCACAGCACACGCCGTTGCTGAGACTCGCGTGGAACAAACAAGATCCTAATTATCTTGCGACGGTAGCGATGGATGCTTGCGAAGTGATAATTTTAGATGTTCGGGTACCGTGTACGCCGGTCGCTAGGTTAAATAACCACAGGTACATTATACGTTTATTTTTTGATCTTTTTTTTTCTCTACGCACCTGGTCTAATGGAGCACACCCTCTGTCGTATATGAAGGTTATCTTTCAATTTTTGTGTCGTTTTTTTAGAGCAAGCGTTAACGGCATAGCCTGGGCGCCACATTCATCTTGTCACATTTGTACAGCGGGAGATGATCATCAAGCGTTAATTTGGGATATACAACAAATGCCAAGAGCCATTGAAGATCCAATCCTCGCTTACACGGCTGCAGAAGGAGAAGTGAATCAAATTCAGTGGGGCGCTACACAACCTGACTGGATCGCGATCTGTTACAATAAAGCCGCAGAAATCCTTAGAGTATAAAAAAAGTATTTTCTATTAGGTTTTTATCTTTTCAGATGTAACAAAGTTTCTTTGCAAATTGTTACTTAAAAGTCATGGGATCATACCGTTTCGTTTCAATACTTGTATGGAATTATGCTTCTGCCCGTACTATTTTATCACTTTTTTGTACCTGTAAAATAAGCATGTACAAATACTGGTTATTTTTAAAAATATCGAAGTAATTCGATAATGGGTATACCTGAAAAATACGAAATCTATTACGATAATAGTGCACGCGTATCTTGTAATGGAAAACTTATGCAGAATTAACGAAACGTTTCATCAATTTTAATGATTTCATGTACATTTTTTTTTCTTTTTTTAAATAAGGTTGGATCGATCTGAAAATATCGAGTATATGTACATGTTAACTTAACAATAATGCAATGTGTTATCATTGTGTCACTGATATTTATGTATGTATTTAACGTCCTCAGGATTATCAAGCAAATGTACACATGATCGAGTGAAATGATTCAAATATAAAATAAGCTCATTGTACGGTAGTTAAAAATTAAATAATAGTATAAAATTTGTATAAGATCGCGTACATCTTCAATAATCGATAGATGAATATCATTGCATTCTGAAGATACACGATATATAGAGACTGACGCGTCACATGTATATTTATAATAATGTAAATGATCGTGATCGATGTATTTTATTTTGTAGCTATACATCTCGCAATGTATTTGAGTAAATTTAAGAAATGATAAATTTATCTGCTTTTTAAAGGGATCTTAAAATGCCCTTATAAAATTCGAATAAGCATTTTTTATAAACTGTAACAAAACGAAATACATCGATTACGTTATACCATTGTATATATGTTTATATTTACATATTTACTTGATTTTGTAGAAAATAATAGAATATAATAATAGGTTTTCCATACTCTCCAAAACTTATTCAAAATATATAACGAAAAATTATTATTATTATATTGTAGTACGTGTGTGTATTCATAATATAATAAGAGAGAAGGGAAACATTAAACTCTTTTATTACAATGACAAAAGTTATAGTGGTAGTATTGGTGATACTAGAATTAGTAACGAAACAACTTATGTGATAATATGATTACATACTTACGAGTTTTCAAAATCCTTAAGATGTAAGATTATGTCATGAAATTGTAATTAAAAGTAGTTTTTTTATACGTAAATTATTTAAATTAAATACGAAGGAAGTTGAAAATGCACTAATAATACATACATTCATTAAGAATCATATCTTCCATAGTCAGCATAATATGATAGGATTCATAATTGATATACACATCAGATGTTTAAAAAAAAAGCAGAATTTATATTGCTGTCCGATGTACCTTATAATTTACAGTTATGTAATGAGCGAGATGCATTATTTACAATAATGAAATGCGAGTACACGAGTCGGAATATTAGCCAATTAAAACATTAATTCTTTTTTATTAATCTCGTGTTTGTTTTTTTAATAAAATATCTGACGACTTCACACAGCTGTAAGATCATACTATTATGTATTACCGCTACTTTAATAAATATGATTAACTCTGATACAGAGTATGGTGTTTATTACCTACCAGTACAGTCAGTGATTTCGCATTCTTATTTTTTCGAATGTTCCAAATTTATCAATTATACGATTTACTATCAATAAATATTTACATGTCGCTATGTCAAATATATTTCTTAAATATTGTTAATAGTAATTTACAATAAACTTTGGCAAGAATTAGTGTTTCGAACCTAGTATAATCTAAATCACATTTCACTGATTTAAAAATCATTCGTTCCTCAGACAAAATTATCATTTTTCTTTGTCTATTTTTTTTTTTTTTAATTTTGTCCAAACGTATGCGCGCAATCCACGAATAACTACATACATTGCACGCTCACCCACGCGCACACACATTTAAAAAAAAACAGAAGAAATACAAGGAGAAAGTATGTTTAACAATAAAATATCAATGATGAATCGTATATAGGTCGCTAAACGGATCGACGTAAAAAATAAAATTTACGTTCTTCGAACTTTTATTATAATTAATGCATCGCGGTAATAATAAATTAAGAAGTCATTTTAAATTTTCACTAACGAAAACATGGTTAAATTATTATCTCGAATACTCGTTCTACACCGTAGATCGAGCTTCAGTTTCTATCCGCCTCTGTCCAATTTGCTAACGTAATTTTTTTAGTTTGTCGTCTTTTCTTTTTCGAAAGAATATACGCGTCAGATACTTTCGTTAAAAAATTCCTGACGCTCGGCGATAGCTACAATCATAGGAGTATTCTTCCCGCACTTGGAATCAAACACTAAACATTGATCAGTGTTATCCCAATAAGTTATCGTTCAAATAGTGCTTACTATTTCGAGAATTTTGAATACGCGTGTTCAACGAAATCCACGGAAATTCTTATGCTTTTACAGAACGCATAATTTGTTGGCTATGTAATGTAGATGCAAGACCGTGCATCCCATGGTCAGCATGTTTCCCATCGCGATGTAGACATGCACGCGACGAAATGCATTGTGCATTTTTAAGTAATGCGGACAGTGCTTCAACGGGCCGGGATTGTGACGACCAATTTCATTCCCGACTCCAGCGGCACGTTCCAAAACATTCTTTTGCAGTATCAATCGTAGAAGCGGCGGTGTCAAATACAGTCGTATCAATAACTCTAAAAAGAAAGCACTGGCCATCGCGCATACCTGAAAATACATATAATTCTTAATTAAACATAAAAGTAGAACTAACTCATACACGATGTTCAAAATGTTGCAATTGCAGAACTGTTAACTAATCTATTCGTTTGATAAACCCAAACATGATATGTAAGTTATAACTATTGCACTAAATACATAATATAATTCTGTTGAATACACAAGAAATGCATTTCTTATTTTACAAACCTGAATGGCTATTTCAGTGTCCCAAGTATTCGCTGGATGGTGTTTGATAAAAATAAGAAGAGTGGTGAGACTGAGACACGCATTGATGGTAAAGTATCTGGGGAACAGAATGCGTTGCACTTCACCGAATATATGCCTTGGTAATGCAAAGTATAGGGAGAGACCTGCAACAAAAAATATTTAAAATAGTAAGCAAAGTAACAGTATTATAGAATGCTGTAATAGAATATCAGAAAACTCCATATAGATAAAAATTACCTGAGACAAAGGTCATCCAGATTTGGGCACCAAGATGCATCACAAAGGAGGCCAAATAAATGAAAGAGGCTGTTCTCGAATGAGGATGTCCCGCAACTTGCACTCTATCTTTGTTTGGAACAAGAGCCGATGTCACGCACAAAACCGCAGCGATCATTATCACATGAGCCGGTTGGGTCGTATAAAACAAAATTCTGATAACATTTCACATTAGCATTATGGCTTTCGATAAGAAAACTTCAATGAAAGAAAAAGGTATTATTATCGGTCACCCCTGGGAACAATTTTAATGAGGGACTTTAGAGGCCAAATTAAGACGAAAATCAAGAATACCAATTTGTTGATGGAGGCTTCGTTAAAAAGTTATTAACAATTAAATTCAAAAATTTCAAATCGTACTGAAAAAATTATTTTCGGTTGCGGGGGTCAATTACAATCATTTTTGGTGAATAGACATACCCTCGAAATCCTACCCACTTACGAGAAAAAAATTCGAGTAGGTTTGAAATTTTTCGACAAAATTAAAAAGTTCCAAATCATACTAAAAAAATTATATTTAATTAGAGGGGTCAAATACAAGCATTTTTGGTGAGTAGACATACTCCCGAAATCCTACCCACTTTCTAGAAAAAAATTCGAGAAGGTCTGAAATTTTTCGAAGGAAAAAAAAAATTTCAAATCGTTCTGGAAAAATTATTTTCGGTTGCGGGGGTCAATTACGATCATTTTTGGTGAATAGACATACCCCCGAAATCCTGCGCGTTTTCGAGAAAAAAATTCTGTTCGAGCGGAATTTTAAACGTTAATAACTTTTTAACAAAGCCTCCATCAACAAATTGGTATTCTTGATTTTCGTCTTATTTTGGCCTCTAGAATCTCCCAATAAAATTTTTCCCAGGGGTGACTAAACACCCTGTATGGTTTTAAATAAATTTCAAGACGATCTGCGTTAAATTATTTAAATTGCAAAAATAAATTTCGTCGGGCATCGTTCGATCGATCCCATCATTCTCGAGCTAACGACCAATAATTTTCCGTATCAGAATGACCGTTAGTATCATTACTATTCTCAACAGAGTCCCATTTCCATCGATTCGAACAGTTTCAGATATTCGTAATTACGATTGAAACAACGAACGTCTTGCAAAGCAGCTTGGTTAATTTATTTGCATTCGTAAATGTTTTCTTTGCTCGTGTTAAACGGTAAAAAGAAATTCGTAATGATTCTTGTCGATTGAATCGAACATTGTTCGAATATACGCGCTAACGTCATCGATATACTTCAGACGACTCGCGTGACCGCGTCTGATTATCAAATCCGGTTCTCCATTAACTTAAACTTGCACGAGACTCGCGCGACATCGTCATTTCGGGCGTTAAACGATCAGCTACGTCACGCTACGAACCAATAACAGTCTCCTTACGCAAATTAGGACAATTTTAAGCGATCTTAACTTTATACGAGTGTAAAATATTGAATATTCAAGCATTTGTACATCATAAATTCGAAACTGTTTCAGAACCTATGTAATACGAGCGCTAAAACAAGAATTTAAAACTTAAACCGACATGGTTCGAATTTTAGGTACTTCGCAACAGTTAGAATTTTATTTGTTCGTTACGAAATATTTAATTCTACAATTGATATCTTATTTATGTTTTATTCGTTACTAAACATTTTCATCGAGATAAGTCTATCTTCCCAGAATATAACGTTGGATCAACAACGATCGGTGAGGCCACGCCCACCATTTTGAAAGACGCTGGCGTAAGAATGAAATCAGATCGACAATTCTTGTGTGTTCTTTCTTAGAGAAACACGCTCGGACATGCGAGTTTGCTAACTCTGCTCGTTTACCGAGATAATGTCATCGCTAGTAAGAGGACACGCGTTTATCGTGTCGCAACACCATGCGAAATAAAAAATTTAGAATATATGGATCGAGAGATAAAAAATGGATTTCGTACGCGAAGCCGCGACGCGACGGACGATACGAACAATATCTTAATATACAGGGTGTCCCGCGTAACAATTTCCACGATTTTTCAAGTACTTGCGATAATCTGGCAAAAAAATATTTTAGACAAAAGCTGATCAATTTTCGATTGGCTATACATTTCAACAAAAAAAAGTTCGAATTTTTTTTTTATTATTGTCGGGGCCACCTTCATTTTTTAAAATGGCACTTTGTATTTTTGACTTAACTATATTGTAACCTGTATCAAGACGAATTCAACGACCTAGTATATCATGACCTTCCGTTGACCTTGAAGGCAAAGAAATGAAAATTTCCTTTAATTCAGGAACCTTGACTAAATTAACACAAACGATTTCGCGAAAAAGTCACGTCAAATGTTATAATTGAAGTTCATGATCTTGTAGGCAGAATTTCGCTCCACGTAGTAAGTTTGCATTGGTTGCCCTTACGAAGGCGCTGTGATTGGACAGTGTTTTTCGTAAATAATTCAAAAACGAAGCCTCGTCCGACATTTTTGCAAAGGAAATTGTTGTTCAGAATCGTCTCAGCCACCCCACATTTCCGACTCTTATGCTATTTACGGGACACCCTGTATAGAGACTTGTATGATACAAATAAGGACAATTATACAGTAATTATTTTCTGTAATTTAAAGATACCTCCTTATATATACTAAAAAATATTCATTTTTACTTTTAGAGCCGTTACACGAGAATCCATCTTTAAAGGATCGAAAACGTCAATAGACAAATGTTTGTCCGACAGAAAACTGTGTCAATCATTGTTAGAACGGTTTGCGTAAACTTGGAAAACATTTGCTCGGTGGTGCAAATACGGGAGCATTAAGTATAATATTTACCGGGAGACTGCCATATCGTTGTAATCAATTCGCACGTAGCCGGTGTACTGGTTGCATCACGTCTCCGTTCGTTACGAAAGTTTCGCATGTGCGCGTACGTAGATCACCGGTATCTTTCAAAATGGCAAACTTACGCTCGAAATGCTTTAAATTCGATCGAGTCCAGCACCCTCGAAAATCAACCTACTCGATGGAATCTAATCAACGACATATGTATACTACAGCTAATATTTCAAATCATCAATTTGTTATTGTGTATTTCTTCGAACGACTCCAATGACTGTAACATTTTTTGTGATGCACACCACCCAAGTATTGTAAAAAAATAGGAAAAAATTCAAAAGGTGGAAAAAAATCATAACTTTCTGATAAATTCCATATAAACGATCTATTTAAATGTAGACTTTGAGACGATTTGGAAATAAGTTCTTCGATTGTACACGCACGCTTTATTTTTATCATTTATCAGATATCATATTCTGAAAACCGAAAGAGAACAACTTGCAAAGATGACGCGTAAACGTTTGAAAATTGTAATTCCAGATTTGCGTCGGATCGCTAAAGAGTCTGCAAACCTGACCCAATTGAAGATAAAAATTAATCTATGCCCACAATGATGTTTTAAAATCTATGCACTGAATTTGATCTTTGAAATTGAAATAATAAGAATTGTAGGAATTTTTATTGTTTCGTATTATTATGCAATAAATTTTTTAATATCCAAAACGGATTTTAATTACTTATTTGTGCGAGTACATACCAAAAAAATCTTTATGGAATGTAAATTAAAATAAATAATAAGTCATTCTTGAGGATAATCCCTCCTCTCTCCCCCCTCCCGCCCTCAGAAGCCACATAATTCTAATTGCTGCTTTAAATGAACTCGTAATTGAACCCGAAAGACCGTTGGCTTTCCTGACATCCTCTTTCTATCTGTACACGATAATTTTTTAGTCAGGTGCAAGGCATATTAAATTACAGAAGAAAAGGGGTCACACGATTTGTACCAGCGACAGTAATATTCGTGGAAAGTTGCGTCTCGTACGAAGCAAAAAGTATTGTCTATAATTATGTGGACACGCGTAGTTTAACGTTTGCGTGTGAACAGGTTGCACATTGCAGGTTGGGTCGGAGGCTTTCTTGGTCGGTGTACATTACGTCTAGCACCGTTTGGTGGTTGTCTTTGAGGATGCTGTGGCATTTCGTCACGATTGTAAATAATACTGGTTTATAAATTATTTAACATTCCTTTTTTAAACAACGGAAGATATCTTTAGTTCTGTGGCGTCGTCTCCCATGCTCGCCACCAGAGGGGTCGCGTTCTCACAAGCGCTCGACCGACCCCTCAGGTGCTATATATACATTCCTCGAACGACATATCCTAATCGTCTAAGGCAGGGCCTGCTAGAAAGTTTTACTGACGACAAATCAAGAGCTAGCAGGCCCGGACGAAATGCCCCCCCCCCTTTTTTCCTTTTCCTACGAATTTTCCGAGTTTCTACCCGCAGCAAAGTCAGCGCCACAATTCTTATTCCTTCGATAAATTCGGTAGCCGAAGATTTCAGCCAATTACTACTTCTTCAACAAATATTCTCTTCTCAAGATCCAACACTGCTATGGACACCTCTTCAGGATTTATGAATGGACTATAACTCTACCACAATTTGCATAAACGACACTTGTTATGGCCCATCAAAAAGCTCTCTAGAATGCTCACAATAGGATTTAACATTCGTTCTTCAAACACAATCATCATGTACAGGGTGGCCTAAAAAAAAATAGCCCGTTACCTAATTAATAAAATTATATATCATAAAAAGAAATATAGTAAATGAAAATAGAAATAATCTAGAGGAACTTGTACGAATTAGACAACGTTTTGTTCCGACGTATCACGTGTATCGTATACCCTGTACAGCGAGCAAACATTTTTCGATGGATTTTTCCTCGCGCGGAAGAGGTTCTTGACCTAACATCTCTCACGCGCTATACATATGTATACCACACAATTTCGGAGAACTTCAGAACAGGATCGCGTAAATACTCTGAACAGAGAACGTGGAAACTATTACAATATAGTATATGCACAGACACGTATTTCGACGAGTAAAGGGTCAGCGATCTGCTATTTAAAATGAGAACGTATTTGAAACGTGCCCAGGTTTGTTATTCCTTTATAAAATTTCTATCCATACCTGAAATAAAATTTTCGTTCATTTAATTTGTATTTTACGTAAAAAGTACGCAGTGATAGTACCTGGATATTCATGAAATGTTAAATACAGACATTTCTGTAGGAAAATCAATTTAGAATATTTCGTTACTTCGCAACAGCTTCTTTATCTCGCACAGTTGG